ATTCCTTTAAAGGCTTCCAATATGCCTTCGCACCCCGCATGGTGGTTTTTGAGTCTTTTGGGTCCCGGGAACACATGTCAAAATCACTGGGCTCAGCCCCTCAACAGGCGAAGTGGACCAAGGAAAGCCGAAGTCACATTCTGATTCAGAGCCCGAACGCGGGGGGCCATCGCAGCCCAGTGATTAGTGGCTAATGAAATCCATGTTGGGACTTGTTGGATTGAGGTTCCATGGTACCACCAGGGTGGCCTTTATAGACATTTAGTGGAGACAGAGGCCCGAAGGGCCAACCAACCAACCAACCGACCGACCGACCAACCAACCAACCAACCAACCAACCAACAACCAGCCAGCCAGCCAGCCAGCCAGCCAGCCAACCAACCAACCAACCAACAGACCAACCAACAGACCAACCAACAGACCAACCAACCAACAGACCAACCAACCAACCAACAGACCAACCAACCAACCAACCAACCAACCAACAGACCAACCAACCAACCAACCAACCAACCAACCAACCAACCAACCAACCAACCAACCAACCAACCAACCAACCAACCAACCAACCAACCAACCAACCAACCAACCAACCAACCAACCAACCAACCAACCAACCAACCAACCAACCAACCAGGGGACCAGCCCGAGGATCTGAAAGGGTACCCCAAAAACCGCACGCCCCCAGCCTGTCGCAGCTGAGGCCGCCGCATAGCCGCCGCGGTCCGGGGCCCGACCTCCGCCCCCGCTGTCAATACCTCAGCGAAGCTTCGAACCGCCGAAGCGAACTGCCCAAGCCGAAGTCTGGGGCTCCACTCGTTGGATTTCCGTCAAAGGGCTGTGGCTCAAAGAAGCGGTGCCAAAATGGCAGCGTAAATGGGACCAAAGACTAAAACCTGTGTAACCCTCGCCCTTTCATATTGAGTTATATCCAAATGGGTCCGGAACAGATGGAGAAGCCTCTCAAACAGGCAATAAGAAAAGAAAACCATTGATGGAAGAACAAGTAGTTGGGTGACCGACCCGTTGAATGGGTGCCAACACATGGCTGCAAGCGATCCTTTCAAGGTTGGTCGCCCTGCCCTGCGCAGCCACAACTGTCTCGGCAGATCGGTGAACGGCCCTTGAAGGGGATCAAACGCGGGCATCCTGGCTCCTTTGGAAAGATCAGCCCAGCACAGTGCAACGGAGCCCTTGCTTTTTTTTTGGGGGGGGGGGTATTGAAATGGTCGTAATCCCAGAACCTTGCAAGAAATGAAGCAGGCGGCCGCAGCTATGGTGAAGCCATGTAAAGAACTAAGCAGGCGCTATTGTTGTTGGACTGCTGGGCTGCTGGGCTGTTGGGCTGTTGGGCCCTCACCTTCTACCCGCATCGATTTTCATTGCTCAGATGTCGCACGGGAGTCGAGCCGAGGGGCCGTCGTGCCGAAAGCGGCAGGACTCGCCCCGGTCACATCTCCCGCGCTTGAAGTCCCCACACACCTCCTGGCCAAGGGGGGAGGGGGGGTTTTCTGAGCCAAGATCCTTGGGGTTGAAGGAATGGGTATATTTGGGTGACTCTTTTATTGCTTTTTTAGGGGACCCCCCACCTGGGAGCCCTGACCCAAAGCCTTCACCCAAAAGAAACGTTGGAAAAACCGGTTGGTTCAGCTGGCTTCTCTCCAGGTCCCGGTCCCCAAACGAAGCCCGCCTGAAATCCTGGCTTGCCCTTCTTTGGGCCTGAGATGGATCGGCTGACGGCGAAACGGCGGCTTTGTCCGCAGATTGTGTGCACCCAGAGGCTCCTGAGGCTTTCCAAGACCCAACCTCTCCATTACACACCCCGGAGGTGTTTCGGGGTCTCAAAACCAGGTTAAGTTTTGAAGGCCCTAAATCAAACGGGAGCCCCTGGGCAGCAAAAATGCCGTGCGCGATGTCATGGCTGAAGTGGTCAAGTGCAAGTGAGTGGAAGTGGTGATGAAAGCTCTTCGCCGAAGGCCGGGAAGGCCAAGTTAGTAAGTATATTCAATAACCACGGTCATAACAAGGGAAAGAAAGTGGGGTTAGTTCCCGTAAAAAGTACGCCAAGCCGGTGTCTGTGGTTAGCCACTTGGGAAGATATAACCCCTGATAGCAAGGTTCGCAAAACTGAAGCCAGGGCTCATGCTCGCGTGTAGGTTGCCTTCGTTGGTGAGAAACAAGACGAGTGGCCGCGTACTTACACATAGCATCATCTTATGAAAATGACCTTATTCATTTTTGGAGCCCACCACAAGCCCATTCTAATCGATATCAGGCCCTGCCAGCACCCCATTCTCGCCTTCGACCTCCTCAATTTCCATGCCTCACGCCTGTCTGGATGCTCTGAGCTTAGGGCAATCTCGGGAGATGTGGCCAAAATCGCCTCAGCTGCCCGTTCAGCGAAGGAAAGCTCCCCAGCCACGACAAGTGGCTGGTGAAAACCTGACAGCCAGCGACAGATCTCACACCAAGAGTCGGATTTCCAACGAAACCACGTCAGCTTCTTCGCTCCAAGGACTTCGGTCCAAATTGCCCTTTGCACCAAAATTGGACTCACTCACATGCCGAGCTGATGGCCCAAAAACAGTCCAAACTTCATATTTTCCACTAAACTGGTCTGCCCAAAAAAGTTGTTAAAGCTCATGAACTCAGGACGTGAGGAAAAACCCACCGCCACGAAGCATGTGGACCGGGCCCCAAGTCAGCTCATCCCACCGATGGAATTCATCCGAGGCACCGCAGGTGTAGCATTCCCCCATGGCTCTCCCGCACGGAGTTGCTCCGGCTCCCTCTCTCTTCCCACGTGGCGTGGCTGCGGAGGGGAAACGTCGCAAGAGTGCAAGATAGGCTGAGAGGGAAACCTTGGTTGACGCTGAAAGGGGAGCAAAATCTATTTTGTTGCAGTTAAGTGGGGATTTCCCACTAAACCACAACAAGCAAAAATGTAAAATGTTTCCCAGCCATAACCGAGAAACCAACATGATATCAATTTCTCTGGCCCTTTTGTCCCAGAATGGTGACTATCCTTTTGGTTTCTCTCAAGTGTTCCTTTCGTGGTCTTTTTTGTTTTTTTTGGTCGAAAGATCCAACGCAAGAGCAATCAAGCAAGTCCCACTCAACGGGGTTAGCATTGTTAGGGGCTGGAAAAAAACGAAGTGGCTAGCCACTGGCTAATTTTTGTCGAATCCAACATCCAAGTAGGCATACCTTCTGTGGAACCAAAGCAAGAAGCCGAACGGAAGTCACTTGCTCTTCCGAATCCACCTCCCGTTCGTCCATTACTTTTACTTCCACTAGGTCTTCCGGATTTGAGAGCTTGGAATCGGCACCCACCTTTTTTCTGTAGTCTATTTTACTAGGGGGTTTCCCTCCCCCCAAAAAAAAAGTTGGTAAAGCTTCCCTCCCCTCCAAAAAAGGAACGGTCAGAGCTGGGGGACCCGGTCCTGGGGTTCCCTCAGACCTCGCACGCCTCAGGTCCGGGCGCTGCTGCAGCTCCTGAAGCTCCGGGATGTGAAGCCGCCAGGGCCTCCGAGCCGAGCTCAGCCACTGAGCGGGTCAGAAAATAACATGATCTGGGCGTACCCAGGCAGGGAAATGGAGGGTTATCCTTAGTTTACCATGGTTTTGTGGTTGAACCTTCTGATCATGATTTAGTCTTGGTTTACTCTGCCTTCCATTTCCATGCTTTCCAGGGATCCGAGATCTTTTCAGGAAACCCTCAAAAACCCAGGTTGGAAACAGAGCCGGTTTTTGAAACGATGGTTGAAAAGAATGGAATTGGAATCAACCACCCAGAGGGCAGGGCACTTTCCCCGCTTACCCCTGTGTTTGCAACATCCTGCATGTCACTCAAAGCAGAAAGCTCAACGACGACAAACAAAACCCGGCCTGTCGATGACAGGCACCGCGGTGGGCGGAAGGCCCAGCTGTCCGCGGTCGTTCTTACCTGCGCGACCCGAAGTGGATAGCGGTTGTCTTAAGATGGCTGCGTCTGTTCCTTGGCTGCTGCAACGACCCCTCTGCAAAAAGTTTTAAAGTCTAAAGATCCGTTGCCAAATAGCAGTCAAGGTTCATGGCTGGACCCCAAAAAAAATCGGGAGGTGTCACTTGGGCCCTTTTGGTCTCCTTTAGAAGCTTAAAAAACGACTCACAAAGGGGGACCCTCAAAAAAAGACACACCCAAATTGAGGGGATGGGTCCTTTAGTGTCTTTTGAAATTACCCTAGCATCACAAGGACACGCCCACTAGCAAAATATCCGCCGGCTTCCCAAAAGAAGAGACATCCGGGACCTGGAAGCTGTGCTAGGCCCTCCAGTTTTTTCCTTCTTTTTTTAAAGGGCACCCGTTTTTTTGTGTAGTCTATTTTAGTAGGGGGTTTCCCTCCCCAGAAAAAAGAAGCGGTAAAAGGGCACCTAGCTGGGGGACCTAGTTAAGCAATGACCCCAGCCAACTTGGCTCACAGCCTCAGTCGCCCACTTTGCACCCAGAAATGCGCGGTTGACCTTTTGGCCCCAAAGATTAGATTTGGTTCCACACCAGGAAACCCACCAACTGGTGTCTGACTTTAGGAAGCCAAGTTCAAGCGGCCGGCTCTGCATATTTTCATCTCGACACTGTCATACTGCGCGGCGCTCGCCGCAAAGCGCCCGCGCGAAGCGAGCGCGAAGCACGTGGCGACTTGCAAGCACGGAACCCGCAAACGTGGCCCCTTTTGCGACAATGGCCGGAGCCAGGATCCGTCAGGTTCCATGGTGGTTGGAAGGTTGCTGAAATATCTCAATGGACAAAGCGGTGACGAATTGCTAGTTCGACAGTGTTGACCGCGGATGAATACACCCGTCCTATTAGGGGTGTTCCCTCCAAAAGTGGTCGAAACCCCACTAAAAGGGGACAGCAGCACTTCTACTTAGATCCTTTTGGTTTCCCCACTAAACGCGGGGCTCCTTGGGTCAGACGCATTCAGCCAGGTGCCCAGTGCTTCGTGTGAGACTCGTCATCTTCACGCCTGGGTGGGCAGATGCAACGACCCCAACCGCCCCCTCGGCGAAAAGCCTTTTTTGGATCGACCGGCAAAAAACAACAACCAAAAAACGTCGGCCACCCCACCCTTCCATGCAATGTTCTCCCTTGCACCTAATTACAACGGGAGAACCGGGCGACGCAGGAGAAGAACCTGAACCATGCACCCCGGAGGAGAACCATGAGGAACCATGCACCAAGGCAGGGATGTATTTGGAGGGCCCCTGCTAGGGCTACGCCTAAACGCCTTCCAACTCCCGACAAACGACAAAGCGTGACCCGGCCTCCGCAAGGCCCTCCACCATCTCTTTTAGGATCTCCTTTTCGAGCTGCACCTGCCGAATTCACCGAGCACATCCTCGGTCAAAAACAGGAAGTCCTGCTCCCAAGAGAAACCCAAAGCGCAAATCCACCTCAAGAGGAAGCTCACGTGCCCAAAGGACTTTTGGCAAAACGGGAAAACCAAAAGGTCAAAAGGTCGGCTTTGGGCAACTGGGGAAGGGATTTGGGGAAGGGTCCCTTCCAGTTGGAGGCATCAACAATCAAGAACAATGGAACGAGATCCTGGGGATCCGTGATCTTCCTCCACTTGCTTAAGTCCCCTGGAAAAAAAAGAGAACAAACACATATTTCCAGTAGTGGTAGATTCCCTTTAAAACCACCAGGGCAAAATAAAAACATACTCTTAACCAAATGGAAGTCTTGGGAGAAACTCGCCCAGCCTGCCACTGGCGAAACTGCAGGTAGTCCGAGTACTTTGACGCACTCGCCACGTTTTCCCGCTCCTGCGGTTTTCGCTCGTGCCGGCTTGGAAGGTGCGCGGCGCGCGTATGCAAATAGTTCTCAAGATGAGAAGCTCCAGAAGGGTGTGGCTCAAAATTAAGGAGCTAGGGCAAACCGCAGGTTTTCGTCTTTGGTTCCATTTGCCAGGGCAAGCCATTTTGGTACATGTTTTTGAGCCGCAGCCAGAAGTCGATCCCCCATTCTGTTGAAACATCCGGTGGTTCTCTTGTGTTCAAGAGGTTTTCTAGAAGAGACCCCGCATCGGAAGCGACTTCTTTTGAGACCTGCCGAATGGCTTTTGGCACGACCATCTTCCTCATGTCACCTGCCTGCCGCCTCAACATACCAGGCAAAGCAAGAATGGTCAGCCATTGAAACCGGATAGACTGACCAAATAGGGTGACCTCTCTTGTCACATGTATTTAATGTATTTGTTGATCTTGAGAGTTTTCAAGATGTTCCACTGCTGCTCTTCTAAATCTGGAATGAAATCTGGTCTAATGAAATTTGAGCGTGGGCCCCTTTTTGTGCTTGACTGACAAAACAAAATGGAAAGCGTACCATTTTTCTGACCTCCCAGATCCAACCACTCCGTCTCGTTCTACCAAATTTTGCTCTTTTACCCAGACCCAGTCGACCCAGTGGGGAAAGGGAAAATAGCGCCACTCCGTTTTCGGTCTGGTCCAAAAGGGACCACCCCCTTGCTAAAAAGATTGTCTGGGTCGAGGGCTGGTGGATGTTCCAATCCCCACCACCCCAACCGGACTCGTCCTCCAGCAATCTCAGCTGAAGCTTTTCCATGGCCTCTGCGTGCCTCTCCCGCAACTTCAGCTCCTCGGACACTCGAAACGAGGAACTGGGGCCAGGTATGTTGACGGTTTCGGGGGGGGAGGTCCGTAGTATCCTTGACGGTTTCGGAGGCTTAGATCATGGTAAAAAAAAAATAGGGCCAGTGGTATTAGGGCCAGGTATGTTGACTATTTCGGAGGGGGGGGTTGACTTTGATCATGGCAAAATAACCGGGTCGGCGATATCCGATCCAACTGGGCGGTACAGCTTCAAAGTCTTGGGATCTCGAAGCTTCCCTCAGTGAGATCCAGGAGTTGTTGCTACAAGAAAAAGCTCCGCGCCATGTGGCTGCATGGGACTCCCGGCAATTGCTGGTTTCCCTTTAGGCCACCTTTAGCCCCGTAACAGGGCACCATCAAAAGCAAGCCCTGGGGAGAGGTTTTTCCCATTTGCCCTCTACCAGAACCAGGGACCCGTTCAAATCCAAATCCAACTACCAACTAAGGCTTACCCGAACAAATGAGTCATAATCAAAACCCGGTACTAAAATGGTCGACCCAGAACCATGTAAAGAATTAAGAAGGCGGCCGCAGCTATTTATGGTTCAGGATTGTCCCTTACTAACCTTCATCCACCCGAATCCGTTTTGATTGTGGCTCAAATGGGCGCTCACCAGCGACGTCGGAAAAGAATTCGGGCGGCGAAGTCGGAGATGTCGTTCTCATTCGGCTTCACCAGCGCCGGGTCGAAATCTTGAATCGAGTCCTCAGCCGAGTTTCTCATCGGGCAAGATGCCTGGGATCCAGGAATCCACCCCCACAAGGCCAAGAAATAGCTGGGCTGCCCTCAGATCCCCCCGCTAAAAGTGACTCACCTTTTGTGGGTTAAATGGAAATTCCACCCCCACTAAAAATATCTAAAAAGATAAGGGGATGGCTGGGAGCCACCAAAATAACAATAGGGAATCGACGCCATTTTTTGGGCCGAAATGACTTTGGGGGGCCGGCCCTCTAAACCACCCAATTTGGCTATGAAAAGGGGGGTTTGCCTTTGGCCTCCCTTTAAGCCAGCGCCAAAAAAACCGCTACCCTCAAAAAAGGCACTGACCACCAAAAACGCCTTGACCAAGCTCCAAGCCGAGGAGCATAGGCCGAGGCATCTGGGAAGGCTTCAGGCACTTCCTCCCAAGAAAGGCCACCCGGTCTCCGGTTCTGGAAACTCGCGGGTGCGATTAGCAGGGAAGGAGAAGTGGAAGGACCCAATTTGAAACCATCCAACTGTTGGGTCCTGTTGGGTCCCTTTAAGGGGACCAAACCGGGTTCATTCCCACTTCTCGTTCCCTACTTTTCGCACCATGACACACAGAACAGGACTCCCCATATGCCCGCAAAACACGCATCACAGAAGAACAACTTTGCTTTGCTTAACCCTCTAAAAAACACAAAAATATGCCCAGTAGTGACAGATTCCCTTAAAAACCAACAGGGGAAAACTATTGTCAGGCAAATGGTTGACAACTGGGCGTGTTGTCTTTAGGGGGCCCAAAGATGACTTCGGAGTTCCTTTTGGTTTCCCTCTAAGACCATAAAAAAGGGCGCTTTGGTTTGTAAACTGCCACAAAAAAGGCCGTTTAGAACCTGGGCTGGCCCTCAGATCCCGCGCGTAAAGTGACTCACTTTTAGTGGGTTAAAGGGAAACTACCACTAAACACTAAAAGGCTAAAGAGCGAACGGCTGGGAGCCACCAAGGAACCTGCGTAGTTTGTTTGTTTTTCTTTTTTCCGGAAAACCTCTTCTGGTAATTTCCGGAAAAAGTCCCACGCCTCATCTTCTCCGGGGCCCTTCTTGATCATCTTCTTCAGGGCGTCTGCAATATACTCTTCACCTAGGAAAGGCTCACTTGCCCAGTTCGGACCTGGAACAAACGAGGTGATCAGCTGCACCCTGGACAAAATATGGGTGTCTCTCTCTTTTTGATGGTAGGCCCTTTTTGGTGGCAAGAGAAGGGAAACCATCAGGAAGAGACCCTTGCGCTGTGTGGGGGGGGGTACCTAAGAACAAACCACCCAGATGGATCAAAAGCCGGAACTGGTTTCGGTCAGATCCGGAAACAAACCTCTGGGGCGCATAAGCGACTCAAAGAACTGGCGCGCCCGTACCAGCAACAAGCGGCCAGGTGAAGCTTTTTCGCCCCCTGGCAAACATGAAAATATCGCCAGCAGTTGCCGATTCCCTTTAAACCAACAGGGGAAAATTGAACAAATCCTCAAGAAAAAGGAAGTGGGCACTCTTTGGTCACGTTATTTTGCCCAATCTTTTCTGTGCCAAGCGCTGCTCCGAGAAGAAAAAAAAAGCGGCCCCTCCGAAAAAACTGTGGCAAAACCGTTTCTCAAAAATTGCCTTTCGAGTCCAAACTGCTTCAGTCTGCAAACCTGCCCGAATCAACTCCCAAGCCAAACTTGCCCGATCTCCTCTTCTCAGAGCCAACCACTGGTTCTTGAAACTTGCCTTTGACATCCGTGGAAGTACAGAGAATAAAAGCTCGCAAACGGAGCCCAACAAGTGAAATCCCCGGACACCTAACAATCAAAACACTCAAACAAACATTGAATCGCGCAATGTTTAAGGGGTCCAGCTGTTACGACAAAATCTAAGACCACAAGGTTGCACCTTTATCGAGGCGAGGCGAACGGCAGGTTGCGTCGTACTCATCCTGGAGGACTGTTCGGGGTGGTTCGGAGCCATGGGGAAATGACTTGAGAGGATGGTGGATTCAGGCCGCATCCCTGCACCAGCAAAAGGGACCAGCCCGCTTCCTGGCCCCCTCCAAGTAGTGGGAGATTGAAGGGGGACTCCTGGCAAAGGCCTACCCCCCCCCCCCCCCCAGCATGCTTGGCAGCTCCGCAAAGCATCCTGGATGACAAATTGAGGTGCCCCTTTGAATGGTCAAATCTCAGGGACTTGCAAGACAGTGAGGCACTTGTCCATGGAAAAACCAAAGATCCCCCACTTGTTGCCCTTGCGCCGCCGATCTCTGCGGCCCTTTAGAGGAGATACCCTTTCAAGCCCCCCCACCCCCCCGTGTTTGCGCTGAAAACCCAAACGAAGTGTCCTTAAGGGATGCCCTGAATCAAATCACCCTTGCATGAACAAATATGAGGTGAAGAATCCAAGAAGGGGCCCACAAGCCTAAAAGGAGTTTCTGATCCTAATGCGCTTGTTTTTTTTGGGTTCCATGTCAATGGGTAGGCTCAGGTCATAGGATATCACAGGCGACCTGTTGGTCAAGCATAGTTGGATTTCCCTGTCATGGAGCCTAAAACCAATATTTAAAGAAGTAGATCCTATGCTATCTCTCCCCAAACTAACCGAAAAAGGGACCCTTCTCTAGGTCCATGGCTTTTCAAGAGCGCAGCATCTGGGACCCACGGCCTGCCTCTTCCTCGACTCCCCACCGACAACGACCACGACAAAACCGCCCAACCGCCCAACCGCCCGACCGAACCTCGGCTGCTGTCTGCTCACCTGCTAAAAGGAACCGCCTTTGAGCGCCCCGACTCCGCAACCCCGCCCCCCCGCCGCCCCACGAGCCGCCGCCCCACGCGAACCGCCGCCCCACGAACCGCCGCCCGAACCGCCCGAGGCGCTCTCATCGAAGGAGACGGTGACCACCCGCCAGCCGCAGCTCCGCAGCAGGCGCCGCTTGAAGGCGGCGGAGCCGCTAAGGCCGCACTCCACGTGCTCCCGGGCCTACGGATGTCTTGCCCGGGCGGATTCGGCGGCGGACAAAGGGGGGGGGGGGGTTTCCTTGGGTCTCTTTCTTTTTTGTTTTGGCGTTTGTGTGTGTGTGTCTGTGTTGTTGTTTTTTTGCGGGGGGGTGCTTTTTCTTTGGTGTTTCTTGGTTCTTGTGTTTGTGGTGCTCTTTTCCTTTGCAACCCAAAAAGGGTACTTCAAAACCCTCCATTTGGCGGTGGGGTGGCTTCCTTTTAGCTGGCCAATTTCTTATGGCTCCTGTTGGTTTCCCTTTAAACCACCATCGCTCGTGGGATGGCTTCCTTGATCCCTATGGTTTTCGGTACCTTCAAAACCCTCAAACAAGGCGGTTTGGGTTTGTGGTTGGGTGGTCAGCAACAAGATGGTGGGTTTCCTTTTTGGTGTCCATTAAAACTACCCCCCCTCCCCCACAAAAGGGTACCTTCAAAAACAAACAGAAATGCGGCGTCCTTCCAATTGGCGGTTGGGGGCCCGGTGGTTGATGGTTCAGGGGCGGCTGTCCATTTGCCCTCAAGAACCAGGCCCCCAAGCGACCAATCCAAACCAGTTAAAGGGAACCTTGCGTCTCCTTTGGGAGCAAATCTCTCTGTAGAACCCAAAACGGGCATTTGTCAAAAGAAGAAACACGTCTCTCTTTGAGGCTCGATCTTTTTGAATGGTTTCCAAACAAAACCAAAGCGACACCAACCACACACTCCGGGGGGTCCGATTCCTACCCCATTTCTGCGCCGCTCCCTTTCGGCTTTTTTCTTCGGCCTGAGGATAGGGGAAATATGTTTGCTACTTGGATGTTCGTTGCCAAGTTAAAGTGGCTGGCCACTTGGGTTATAAGTTTTGTCACCTGCTAGCAACGTTACTGTTAACCCCATTTTTGGGGACTCAAAGGCGGTTGCCAACCACAACCCTCTGCGTTTCTTCCCGAAATGCAAGACTAGTGGCGATTGTTCAGACCCAGTTGAAGAGTTCCGTAGATTCCCCCCACACAACCGGAGGAGACTCACCTTAATTCAGCCCAGGTAATGAACTTCAAACCACAAAACAGGGGATCTTAATCATCGGGCAAGATTCGCTTTGTTCTTTTGGCTGAGACGCAAGGACGCAAGAGTCTTCTTGACTTGCTGCAACGGCCCCCCTTGCAAAAAGAGTTGTTTAATCACTTTTTTGGGGGGGGTTAGTGGAAAACCCACCTCGAAATTTCAACCAAAAAGAGTCACAAGTCTAAAGATCCGTCGCCCAATCGCAGCCGGAGATGTGGCCTCCCGTTGCGCCTGATAAACTCGGCCCCAGAGGAAATCGACAGCTTTCTTTCCCCCTTTCAGCAATCCGGTTGGGTGGTCCCTCTCGTCCGCGGGCGGAAGGCCTCCTATTTGATCGCCTTCTTCGCCTTTTTCATTTAGGTTGAATCCCCTTTTTTAATGAAGGTTGTTGCTCAATTTCCAGGTTTCACTTAGGTTTCGAAGAGGTTTCGACGAGCAAACGGCGGCTCTGGAAAACAAGTTCGGGGAGCCCTGCCACCTGCCTGCGACAGCACCTCCCCTCGGTCTCCTTGGCCATTGCGGAACGGCCACAATTCCAAGAGCCAGACTGATCAAAGGAACTGTCATCTCGGCCATCGATTCTCGAGACTGACAAATAAAACCTGGGCTTCCGCGTGACTTCACAGAAATGCCTGGCCTATTGACCGGGGCTAAACTCGATGCGTCAATCACCACGCACCACAGCAACCCCCCGGAGCAGTTCTGCTTAAGTTGAGGCTTCCAGGAGTGCGAGCCTACGCATGTTCGGCCCAAGCGGCCGGAGAGTGCTTCAAAACGCGCCTAAAGCGGACGCAAAAGGCCCATTGGCCGCATGCGTTCCACTCCCAAACTCTTTGATCCCGAGCCATTCCACATGAATTCAGCTGCTCACCCACGCACCGCGATCCAGGTTTGCATAGCGTGGATAGGTCTGCGCACCCAGCCCTGCGATAGGTGCCTGGGCCTACATGTTGACATGTGCACGCTCCAGCGCGTACTGCATGTTTGCATAGCATATGAGCATGCACGGAAGCAAGTAGCCTGTGAGACAGCGTGAGTCCTGCGTTTGATGGCTCCCACTTGGACTTGAGACTTCGGGACTGACTCAAAGCAGCTCAAACTGCGTGAGCCGAGCAGGTTCAGCCAAGAAAACCCGCAAACCACGTTTGGCCAAGGGGATCCTGCTGGCAAGCTGAAACCCCCAAACCCAAACTTTCTAAACCTAAAACCTGGCCCTTCTCAAAAACAAAACCAAGAAACAACTCGAGTCTTTTCTTTTTTCCCCAGCCGGCAAAGCTGACTTTTCACTTCTAAGCCACCTTCGCGCATCCTTGGGCCCCCCCCCCGCCTTCCGCCTTCCGATCTCCGAGCCGAGGTCGAAAAAACAAATCCCCTGACGAGCGGCCTCCGTTCAGCTTGGAGCCCACCTCGCGCAGCTTGTCCTCAGGCGACGGCATCCGAATTGGTCTTCTAAACGCTTTGGATGCCCGGTGGCATAGGTGTCATTTTAGGTTGGAAATAGATGGATATCCCTGGTAGATGATTAAACCACCAGGTAAACCAGGAATCGCCATCTATGTATTTTTTGAGCAAAACAACCAAAAAGGACACCTATGCACGGTGGCTTAGTGCTTGGGGGCGGTTTATCATTTACCCCCAAGAACCAGGGGTGAAAATCACCCACCACGAACTATGGGTACGGGGAATTTGCATCTGGCTTCTGCGGATCCACCCCTGGATACTAAAACAGTACTAAAGGAGTACCAAAAAAAAAGAAGCTACAGGGAGAAGAACCCGTCAAATCCAGAAACAACGCATCCAAACTTGGGAGGAAGCGCCTGCAGGAGCTGCTGGTCTTTTCTTGCGCATCTATCTGAGCTGGCATCGGCTACCCCAAACCACTACCCCAAGGGAATGTAGTAAAACCACCCTCTATATCATGGCTATATGGCCATGGGTCAAAGCCCCGTACCCCCAGTGAACATTGCAATCCCCACTAAAATGGGTGGTGCACCTATCCCAAAATGGTAACATTGGTTGCATACCCCATAGAAACCTTGGGATGGTTTGAGGGTAAACCTTCTTATAATCTAGTTAGGCCCACCCCAAAATGAAGGCTTCTCCAGCCCAAATCAACAAGACCACTGACCCCATCCAAAAAATCCCCCAACCCCTCCCCCTCTCACGCCCCAGCATCCAAAAGAAACATCTAGCAAACTCCCCCAACCCCTCCCCACCCTCCCAAAACCCAAAAAATCAAAAACAAAAAAACACACGCAAAAAAACACACAAAAACTTCACGTGAAAATTCATTCGCCTTCCAAGGCGCCATGAGCAGCTCCAAGGGTACGGTGTTCCTCTGGGGACCCTCCACCTCGATGATGAGCTTGATCTTGGGGATGCAGATGTCCCCCCGCACCCCTGCCTCACGTCGGGACTTGCCAACTTGCCAGGCCACAATCAGCCAACTGCGTAACGGCGCCGGCGTTTGTTTTTTTTCCCCCTGGGACCGGTCCGTCTGTTGCCTTCTTTTTTTTCCGGACCCCCGGACAAAAGAGCGAGGACATGGTTCATGGCTGGCGGAAACCCAACCACCAGACTCCAAACTGAAAGCAACGAAACGCTCAAGGAACTGGATGGCGGTTTTGGTTTTCTTTTTTCCCGGACTACTCATTACCCATCATCACAACAGCATACGGTATAACAGGAAACTCATGGGGGCATGGCTATTGAGCCAGGGAGAAAGCAAAAGGTCAAACAGGCCCCAACAGAAAAGTGGACCAATTTACTGTGATTTGTGTGGAGGGGAACCCCTTTAACGGGAGATGGCTCGGACACCCTGCCTTCAACCCAAGTGGCTAACCACTGACCCCCTGGAAACCCAAAGAACATTTTGCCGCTGGAGCTCCACAAAAAGGGGGAGCTCTACGGAAAATCGCGGGGAACGGCCTCAGCGAAGCCGTCCAGCGCCGACACCATGCAATTCGCCTCCGGGAGATTTTCGGAGGAGACCCCCCCCCAGAAAGGGTCAACATGAGGGAAGCTGCGGAATCCCATCTACTTCTCCCCCCCAATCGCACGAAATCCACCTGTGGAACGAACGGGAAGATTGTGAAATCCATCTTCCAGAACAATTAATCTGGGTGTGAATGTTCCTGGGGGTTTCTTCGGTTTGTAGGCATATTTTATGGAAACTGAAACGGCACCATCCATCTTGAAGTTTTTCCACTTTGAGACAGCCCATGATATTGACCGAACCTCGCGCATGCCTCTCATGGAAATAAACCCAGACCCAGCGTTTTAGCACTTGGGGAACCTGCAGCCCCCGAAAACGCCGCGAGGGCCGGGCAACAAAAACCAGCGCTTGCCGCACGCGGTAAATCAGCTTCCCGAGCAGACCTTTTTTGAGGTTCGGTACCCTTTTTGGGGTTGGTTTAATGGGAACCCAACAAAAAAAAAAAAAAAAACAGGGCAGCCTGAGTAAATGTGTCTTTCCCATGTCGATTGCCACAAATGGGTGCCCCTATTTGACACATACCCACATGGGATTGAAACAGGGTTTCCACAAACATGTTCAAGGATACCCTGTCCATGTTGCCATGAATCCACATGGTCCTCTTAAAGTTAAAGGATTGGTTTTGTGGGAAACAATCAGGAAGCCAACCATTTTGGCGGTTCCCCAATTTCAAGAAAAAAACATCAGCTGCGCCCACAGAGGCCCCGGGCGAACTTGAGTGAGTGAGTGAGAAAAAAAACACCAAAAAAGAAACATAACATAAGAAATGGAGACACAATCAGGGAAAAACAAAAACAAAACAAAAAACGTCGCCTGGTGCGGGATCTGCTGGATGCGCAAGCGGTCGGACAAGCGCCGGTGCTGCTCGCCCATATACGTGGCCGTTGCCTCCTACCAAACTAAGGCACAAATGTGACGAGGGCATTGGCTGGGGAAGAGATGACTCACTTTCCACTTTCCTTCCTTTCATCTTTCATTAGCTTGTCTTATAACTAGAAATGGAATGGAGTAGAAGGAAAGTGACCGAAGTGACGTGCGGTTGGACCATGGAGAAAGGGGGGGTCGTTTTGAGGTCGGACCCCCGAAACAGCTTAGGCTTTCCTTTTTGTGGAGGTTGGACCCACCCAAAACGGATTCCCTAAAAAAAAACGAGCAACGGGCGCCGACTGAAAAAGACACGCCCGAATCTCAAACCCGGTGGAATGGGAGCAATTCCTGCCACGCTTTCAATGAAAGACTGGGAACGGATGCGGGCACCAAAAGGGCGTGGGCCAAGAACAGGGTAACCCCAAAATCGGTTGCCATGCATGGGAAGGACTAGAACCTGCAGTCCATATCCTGGTGTTTTAACTTTGACCCATACCGGAAACACATGTTTTACGAACGCAGCTCTGGCCAAGCCAATAGCGGCTTCTCATGTGCTTCTTAGGCCTGAAAAGCAAAGATGGTTGGCTTCCTGTTGCCCTCCTCTGGCAAGTGTTCCCGCCCTGAACCCAGCTCAGAGCACGAACCCTCAAAACCCTCCAAAACCAATGGAAAGCAAAGTGAGCCAATGGTCTAGCTCACCAACCTCGTTATTCCAACCTGTAGAGTTAACCCCCGTGTAATAATGTATACACACATACGTATATAGAGATACACACATATATACATATAATATATATATATATATATGTGTGTGTATGTATGTACATTTATATATATATATATAGATATACAGATGTGTGTGTGTGAGATGAACAAATGGATCACGGTAATCTTCCAGAGGCTCTTGAGCATCTCGAAAGATAAACGTGTAAACCCCTGCCGGCCTCGTAGCAGCGCCGGCACACGGTATGCCCCACCAGCTCCTGCACCGGCAACTTCAGCTCGGCCTGCGGTCCGCCCTGGGAGCCCCCCCGGCCTGGTTGAAAGCTATGGGCTCTGATCGGTGCTCCTCTTGCGGCTTGCGGAATGCGGGCTGGGGGTCCAGAAGGGTTCCTCTGGAATTGCTGTTGGGGGGGGCCACCTGTGCTTACTGCTTCTCTTCTTTTTGGGGGTGAACAGTTCCGCATGTTCGAAGGGAAGCCAAAAGGACAGCAACCCGCTTTTCGACTGCTGGGAAGCACCCAGGCCTGGCAATCAATCGTTTGGAGCTCTCCCGAAATGTTGGCCCACCCCAGCAACAACTTGACACAAGAACACAGAACGCAGCAGAATGTATCCAAAGGCTTCGAGGGGTAACTGTTCCTCTTTTGTTCCTCTTTGCCTTCTGTGCCCCAAAGGGCGGTGGTTCCCAGCCATCCCCCTAGGTTTTTCCTTTTCGGGGTGTAGTGGGTCCCATCTATCCCGCCAAAACGTAAACCTTCAGGGGATGTGAGCCCAGCGCCCGCCCCAAAGGAACTTCCTGTCAGCTTTCCCCAACCTGAGGCCCGGGGGCCCGGGGCCTGCCAGGATGCCATGAGATGGTACAGCATGGTGTAGCCCAACTCCGCAAAGTCCCGGTCCCAAAAGCCCGGGCGGAACATGAGGCTCCTCAGCTCAAATGGACCAACCCAAACCCGAACCAGCCAAAACCAAGCCAACACCAAGCCGAAACCAAAACAACCCCCCCCAACAAACACTTAACTAAACACACAAAGTAAATTTAAACCTTCGCCCAACCCAAACCAACCAAACCCAATAAGGGCAAAACCGATGTGGTCACCAGTTGGGGGGTGCGAACCCAAAGCACCTAAGCGAACGTTTGCGAACCCACTTCTCATATGCGAACATGGCAGGGGTTTGCGAACTGCCAAAGTCATGCGCGAACGCAGGGAGGGCTTAGCTAGGCTGCCAGGGCTTCGCCGAGCCGGCGCCGCCTCTGGCAGGACCCGGCGCAGCCCTACCGGCGCCTGGTCTGGGTTTGCGAACCTTTGGATTTCCCAATAAAGTTTGCGAAGGTTTGCGAACCCCATTTTTGGGTTTGCGAACCCGGCCAGGCATTGCGAACTTTGTTTGCGAACCTGTGCGAATGGTCATGGCCTGCCCCCCCCTTAGTGGTGACCACATCGGTATTGCCCTGACCCAAAGCAACCCAAACCACCACGAAAACCAACTCACGCCCAAACCAAGACAAACCAAAACCAGCCCAAACAACAACGAACCAAAACCAAACCAACCAACCCAACCAAAACACAACAAATCCCAACCAAAACCAGCCGAAGCAAAGCCGAAACAAACAAATCCAACCCAAACCAAACCAACACCAAAACCAAAAAGACAAAACAAAACAAAACCAAAACTAATCCCAAACCAACCCAGCACCAAAAGCAACAAAGATAAGAACCAGAATAAACCAAAGCCAACCCTACCCAAAATCAAACAACATCAAAACATAAACCAACAAAAACAAAAACTAAAACAGGCCAGACAATCCAAACCCAAAACCAAGACCAACCAAAATCAATCCAACAAAAACTACACTAAAAGATCAAAGCAAACCAAACCAAATCAAAACCAACAAACAGTGACTAAAAAAAGACAAACAAACCAAAACCCGAAACCCAAACCACCCAAAACCAACAAAACATTGAACTAAAAAAACAACGAACCAACACCAACCCAAACCAACCAAACCAAAAACTAAACCAAACAACCAACACAAACCAACACCCAAACCAAAGCCAACCCACACCCAACCCAACACAAAACCAAACCAACACAAACTAAACTAAAAAACCGAAACAAACCAGACCACGAAACCAAAACCAACCAAAACGGAAAATTAACAAAACAAAAAAGTAAACACAAAAAACACAAACCCAAACCCAAAATCAATGAAACACAAAAACAAACACCAACAAACACTTCCCTAAAAAAAACCAGCATCATCAAACCAAGCTAAAGCAACAAACCTGGCAAAACCAAAACCCGCCCAAACCAAGACTACACCCAAAATGAACGAAATACAAAAACAAAAACTAGCAAAACCTAACCCAAAAAAAAACACAAAACCAACCAAAACCAAAACCAACAAAAACTAAACTAAAAAAGCAAAAACAGCAGAACAACTACCAATACTAAACCAAAACCCACCCAAACCCAAACTAAACCAAACCAAACCGCCTTTTTCCGGCGTCTTTTTCCTTTCTCCCCTCCCCGCTTTGCGTTTTTTCTTCTTCTCTCGCCGCGGCGCATGACGTGGAGGCTGGCGGAGGGCCCGGCCAGCAGGGCCACGGCGAAGATCCCTTGGGGCAAAGTCGAGTTGGTGAGGTCCCGGCGGGCGAGCTCCTGGTGGGTTGCGGTTTGTCAGAGGAGGTTTGTGGGGTGGGGGGGCCGTCGAAGATTGCCAGGGGGAGATGGGGGGGAGATGTTCCATGGATATCCTTGTTGTTTTCGGGTTTTCAGGCACTCGAGCCTTTCAGCAGGGAAGGAAGTTGGTGGGCAAAAACAGTGCGCTTTACACCCCTACACCCCCCGCCCAAAGAAAACAAACACACACGCAAAAATTGTAGAGGAACCTTTGGGGCTGCGTGTGAACTTGTGTATGTTGCATGGTTCTGGTCATCTCCAATTTGGATTTGGATTTGAGGGCTAATGGGAGTAAACCAAAGTGGGATTCCAAAGTGTTGGTTGGTAGAGCTTTCTTTGAAACCATGGTTGAAACCATGGTTTCTTTGTATTTACCTCGAAATCAAACCATTCCAGGATTCCGTCCATCAGCAAGTCAGGGATTCAACAAACACAAGGCATCGGGAGAGCACCTGGAAGACATATTTCCTCAAAGCCTGCCATGGCAACGGAGGGAGGCTAGTTGGAGACTCTGTGCCAGGAATGCGACCCCAAGGCTTCAAATCTGTAGTTTGGTCTAGGGGTATGGGTGTGTCTACTTCTTTAGGGGACCCCCCAAAAAATGAGGTTTCCTTCTATCTTCCCATGTTAGGGTCTGTGTCTTAAAATCCTGACCCTCCATCGTTTCTCTCCTCCGCGGCAGCTGATGCCACCACCTCCCCGTGGTTCCGGCAATTCAGAACCGCCAGGCCGTAGAGGGTCATCTGCAAGCTCTGATCCTAGACCCAGAAGTGCGATTGGACTCTGTCTAACAGCAACTTGGTCGAAATATGAACCAGACTCAGCAAATCAGACCAGCTTCTTCAGAAAAACCCCTTTCCCAGCCAGGAGAACGGGTCCGAGAATCGGGCCCGCTACTTGGGCGTCCGGATTCGCCAGTAAGGCGTTGTGAACCGATTGGTTGGAACCCACTTCCCCCGTTCAATGCGGCTAACCTTGGGGCTGAACAAACCCAAGTGGCGAATGACTTGCTGACCTGGCAAATCGAACATCCAAGCGGGGTCTGGCACCATGCCTTAAATTCCGTGGCCAGCTACCCTCCTGTCCACGAACGAGGGGAAGTCTTGCTTTTGTTGTTTTGCGGCATCTCTTGGCTCGCCCCGGAGGAAGGTTGAAGCAACCGCTTTGCGTCAGGGCGGCCCATCTGGTTTTGAACTCTTAGGTGGGCGCCAAAAAAATAAGTGATAATCATATATTGAAAAAAGAAAAGAAAAAAGCTTCAAACTGAGCTCCTGGGCCCAATTCTATCCCAAGGCAAGCAATGTGACAATTGCCGCCTCACTTCCCAGTGGATTGGCCAAAAGAAGTCCAAACCTGTTGCGTGCCACCAAAATGGTCCAAACCCAAACCCCCAAAGTGGCGAAGGTCTATACACTCAGGAAGTCACAACGGCCTAAAAACCGGCCGCAACACTTAGGGGGGCAAGGCACTTGGTAAGTGGCTAGTAAGCCTGGTTACAACCCACTTCGGAGACTTATAACCATGGAAAGCAGGTTAACCAGTACAACCCACTTAGGAGACTTACAACAATGGTAGGCAGCTTACAACCAGGACTTGCCTGACGTACCCGATCGCCCCTTTAAGCCACACGGGCATTGCCCAACCCCGTCCTCATACTCCCGGATGTGCTCGCAGAAGTGCAGCGCAATGCGGTCCATCAGCGGCTCATGCCGGACCTCCCCAGAACCCTGTACCACTTTGCACGACTGAAAATATGAACCCAAAAAAGGAACACCAGCAGGTCATTTCAGGTTCATTCACCTTGAACCACCGAGCTTGGAGGCAAAACAAAAATCGGGGCGCTCGGCCAGCGCACGGCCTTTTGCACTTTTGCATCTGGTTTGAACCACCGAGCTTGGAGCCAAATGGCTGTGGGGCCTTAAATTACGTGGACCCCCCCCTTGCTGTTTTCATTCTGACCCACAAACCGACCCTTTTACCTGGACCCCCCCCCCGCTGTAACCGACCCTTGGGCGCGGCGACTTTCGGGGCACCTGGTTGATGGCCAGGGAATAGGCCAGCGTGGCCCAGTGTGAGGGCTCGAAGCTGTCGTACTCGTTGCGCCGCTCCAGCTCCTGCAGGAGCCGCTCCACCAGCGACACGTTCAGGAAATCCAGGCGCCCGTAGCCTTGGGCGTGGTCGTTTTCGGGGAGGAATGGGTTGGTCCCCCCCAAAAAATGGGTAGCCTCAAATGGACTGCCGTTCCTTTGGGAGGGTGTTGGCTCCCCCCCCAAAAAAATAATAAGGGGTGGGGTCCGGGTGATTTCCCTAGAAAACCCAACCAGCAGTGGGGTTCACCATTCTTTTCAACCGGCTGTGTTTCCAACTTGAGTTTTTGTCAAAAGAAGGATCCCTGGAAAGAATGGAAGTGGAAGGTACCCGTAGAAAAATCGGCTGTCTTCTTCTGGGAGGGTGTTGGTCCCCCGCACCAAAAAAATGGGGGGGGGGGTGTCGGAATGAATTTTGCTAGAAAACCCAACCAGCAGGGATCCACCATTTTGAGAAACACCCATTCAGTTGTTTCTCATTTTCGGGTCGAAGATGGGAAACCCAACTGTAAAAACAACAAGGGAGGGGGAGGGGTTTACAACCGACCCGTTTATTACCCGTCCAGGGTTCGGATTTTGTGGTTGCATTTTCCGTGTTAAGGAGGAACTGAACTGGGTTCCGGTAGGACACGTCTTCTTTAAACAAGGATGCGGATGCTCTGAATTTGGTCTAGCTGGCCCACATGCATCCTCCCATACAAGGTTTCAGGGCACCCTCTCTCGCCACGCCCATACGATTCTACCTTGGAAATCTCCCCCACTGATATATACATCCCTACTGGGGATGGGCGAAATCCTGGGAACCTGTGGAATGATTCGATTCCCCTTTAAATACCAACAAACGTTGTGGTTTCAACCGTTTCATTTCGTGGTGCGCAACCTTCCACGGTAGGTGACCAATCCAGGAAGTTAATTCAATGTGTGCCACTCAGCTGGCAAGGAGACACCCCTCTGCAAAAGTTTAACTGGTTGGGGTGAAATGGCAAATGCGCAGTTTCCCAAACATCCATAGAAAAGACACAGACCATAACAACAGCCGTAACAAAGCAATTGCGTTGTCCACCTTCAAATCGGAATTTTAGGAAACTCCGTGGGATCCAAAAGGCTGCGAGGAAGTCTGATATCCCAAGTGGTTTCCTTTCAGAGTGCCTTGGCCAATGGTCATGGCCCCAAAATGGTTTCTTTCCCTTTAAACCCACGAAAAAGGGGCTTGCCCCCAACCAAAATAGGTATTCTTGATAGGGACCCCGCAATTCTGCCCGCATGTCTGAAGCCGATTCTATTTCAATCGTAGGGCACCACCATTCCCCTCGCAGATTCTCACATTGGCTCCCTACTAAACGACACCCCCGGATCAAAATCAGCCAGAATTTCTGCTGAGATCGTGGCACCCATTCAGCAAATCCAAAGCAAAATGGCTGCCAAAGGACTGAAAAAAACCGTCCCTTACAAACCTTCTCCCACCTGCTTTTGACAAAGCTCTTCGGATTTCCCGGTTAAAAAGTTGATCTTTTTTTTCCACTTTGGGGGTTCACCTGAAAGGGACATGGCTTGGAAACCCCATCTGCCATCGCGGGTCGGTCCTCGTTTGAGCTTCCCCCCTTGGTTCATAGTTGTAAGCCAAAGCAACCCCAGGCTGTGAAGAAACATTGTTCTCTAGTTCGGGGGCGGGGGCGGGGGGTTCCCCGTTTGCTTTCTTTCCCTCTGCCGTTGCACCCAAAATCTTGGGAACCCAATTGAAGTGTCTTTCTTGCGCTTGCCTCCTCTTTCTCTTTCTCTTTTCCTCTTTTTTTTGGGGGGGGAGTTCCCGCGAGTCTTTTGAGACCAAAACAAATGGGTGCTGTTCTTTGCTTTTTGCTTTTGGGGAGGTTTTTCCCCCGCGTTTCTGTGGATGAGTTCCCCCAACTGGGAGCTTCCCTATATGAGGCACAACTGGGTGCTTTTCTTTGCTTTTTGCTTTCTTGGTGAGGTTTTCCCCCCGCTTCTTTCGAAAGACCAAACCCAGGCACTGGGTGAGGTTTGCTTTTTTTTTGAGGAGGTTTGCCGGTCCCCGACTTCTTTTGAGAGACCAAAACCAAAACAGCCACTCAGTGCGGCTTGAGGGGCTGTAGAGGATGTTGAGGATCTCCACGAGCATCAGCTCCGCCGCGCCCTTCTGGAACACCAGCGCCGAGATCTCCAGAAAGTCCTCGCCCGGACTTCGCGCGAGCGCTCGAAGCTTGGCCACCGAGAAGCAGCCGGGGACGGGTAGGAGAATTCTCTCGCTTTGGGGTGGCAGAGGGTGTGTGTGTGTGTGTGCGTGCGTGCACAAAACCAATGGTTCGGCTCCAAGCTCCTCAATTAAGTAGAAGGCGGGTGTTCTGAGGACAGTTGACCACGTTCAGGTCCCAACTCCCTCCTTCCGTCATGCTGCCCTCTAAGTTGTTTCGCCCGTGCAAGCTGGGGTTACGGTTGAGGTCTGGGCTCCAACAGTCACAATCAAAGCCTAGGTGACAAAGGGCCCATCGGCCTCATGGTAACGCTCAGTTGCCCAGTTTGGAGCCAGAAAGAAGAGGCGCTCACCTGTTGCAACCTTGACGAAACTTGACTAAACATGGCTTTTCCTCTCGGTTGCCCTTTGAAACCACAATAAAATCATTCCTCCAACCAAAACCAGGCAGGCCCACACTCATGGACCTCAGGGAAACCGTTTCAGGTCGTTTCGATCCGGTGGATTCAACGTTGGGGAGCAGGCATTCGTTGTTGTGTTTGCTTTGTTGTGGTTTTTGGTTGTTTTGTGTGTTTTTGTGTGGGGGGGATTGGAGGTACCCCCTTTGGGAAAGGTTCGTTGGATGCTCATCTGCTCGTTGATGGATCCGGCCCCCAAAACCCAGTCGTTGGGCCGAAGCCGAAGCTTGGTGCGAGAAGCAAGGAATGACCACGAGTCCGGGTGTTGGGAATGACAACGAGTCCGGGTCTTGGGCATGGACCAGCAGGGGATTCCCTTCAAGAAAATGATTATGAAAAAATAAGGATGGATTTGTTTTTCTTGCAGTCATTCCTCTCTCATCTGCCAAAAACGCACAAGCAAGGAAGCCGCCGCAGCCCGCCTCGTCCCGGTGTTCCATCCGCATCAGGGCGTAGACGATCAAGTTCAGCTCGGTCATCGTCCAGCTCTCGTGATCCCTCCGAATCACCTCTCAGCCGAGAAAACCGGCTGAAGGGGCTTCTTTCTTCTTTCTTTCTTTCGTTCTTCTTTTTGTCTGGGGTGGGGTGCTTGGCATTCCGGCCGCCCTGAATTGGTTGGATCTGTCTTCATGATTTTTTTGTCTGGGGTGGGGTGCTTGGCATTCCGGCCGCCCTAAATTGGTTGGATCTATCTTCATGTTTTTCCCCTTTTTTTCGTGGGGTGGGGTGCTTGGCATTCCGGCCGCCCTGAATTGGTTGGATCTGTCTTCATGTTTTTTTTTGTCTGGGGTGGGGTGCGTGGCATTCTGGCCGCCCTAACTTGATTGGATTAATGATTTGGGAGTTGAACGCCAGTTCTTTTTGAAACCAAATGGGGAAGGTGGCCCGTAACATGGAAACCACCAAACTCCAAACCACCAATTTGGGGGAGGCTGGATGTTGGCATGAACCGTTTGTTCTCCGACACGAAGGAAACCGGTTCAAAATGTTCAGCCTCCAGATTGGTTCAGCTTCTGGAAGAAGCCCTTGAGGAACAGTTTCCCTCTCTTCTTGCTGGTTGGATCGGCAGGGAAAGTGGGACGGACCCCGAACTGAACCAGCCAACTGGTGGTTCCCTTAACTGGATCTTGAAGTTAATTCCAGTTTCTCCCCTCTTTCATGGTGGAAACCTCTTTCAGGGTGTTTGTTTTTTCGGGGGCCAACATGTCAAGAAGTCCGGCATGGAGACACATGGATACTCTGTCCCATTCTCTCGGGCCAGCGCGCCTCATCCTTCAAGGCCTTCACAAAAGGATCTATCTCCATGGTGGTGTTCTCATCCACCTCGGAGTCTCTCATGGGGCCCGGGGAGGGGGAGGGAGCGGCTGATTTGTGGGCTGAAAACAGGGGGGTTTCTTGAGATTCTGCTCAGAAAGCGAGTTCTACCTCTCGCTCTCTCTCTGCCGTTGCGTTCAAAAGGTCTTGCCTGAGCAAGGCGATGAAAAGGGCGCCCACAGACACTCAGGGGCCCCTAAAACATACAAGGGCGGCGAGTTCGGAATTTATCGTTTTCGCTCGCATGGTGGGGATTGGTGGATCGGTTGCCACCCACAACCAATAGCACGAAAGGTAGCAAAGGGAATCAAGTCCTGGGCCAACGATTTTTTAGCGGGCCTCTTGCACCCCCAAGAGGGAACAACTCCTTGCGCCAGGCAGTGCTCAAACGGCTGAAGAGTCGCATATGGGGACCCGGAAAGCGGAAATATTGAGCAAAGGCGAGCTCGCGATAATTCAAGGGAATGAGCCAATGTTGGGTTCTGAGCTTAACCAACCCCTCAAACTCCCTCGGGGTTGAGCGATTTTTCATGAGATCCCCACCCTCATGCTTCCGCCCTGATTATGCTATTACATTTCTCTTTTCAATTTTACACATGACCCCATTTAAAAGGGGAATAGGAACCCTGTTGGCACTGTTGGGCTTCCTAAACCAGCCTTCGACCCTACCACCCCAACCCACCCCTCCCGCTTCAAACCTCAGGTTGGGTCCCACCCCCTCCCCCCGCAAGTTCCATCCGGACGACTCCCCCGCTGCAGATTCTCTTTTTCAGGGTGCCTCAAGGGAAGCCCCGAGATCCGTTTAGTTTTCCTAACCCAAAACTCACCAGCCAAAAGGACCCAAAAGTAAAAGGTTAACCTTTTGAAACCAGTACAAAAAATGGACCAACAAGGGAAAACCAAACGGTCAAAAGGTCGGCTTTGAGCAACTGAGCAAAAGGGTAGCCTCAACAAATGAGACACAGCTTCCCTAAGCAAACCCCAAAAAAACAACTCAAACCCCAAAAAGGGAAATAAGAGTACCCATTTAGAAGCAAAGGGATTTCACCCAACCCACAAATTCCATTTGCTGTTTCGCTGCCTGGGGAAAAAGAGAGAATATTTGCGGTAGGAATGGATTCCCTTTAAAACCAACAAAGGTTTAATAAAACCAATCTGCATTTCAGCCAACTGGAAGAGACAACCCCAGCAAGCCCAAACGCAAACCCCTATAACTATCTTTTTGTGGTTTCCTGCAAGGGGACCCTGGGTGCATTCCTAAGCCCCGGCCCTGGACTCGGTCATTCCCTACGAGTACCTATCGCACCGCCAAACCGAACGAAGGGTTGCCTGAAAAAACGGGCACCCCCCTGCAAAAAACAATGATTTCCTTAAACCCGCCTCAAAAACGGCCACCCCCTCCCTTGTCCCCCCCCCAAACGGACCGCACTCCCCACGTCCCTCGCTCCAACCCACCGCTCGCTCGCGCCAACGCCGGGCCGCGGAGAGCTTCTTCCGCTCCAGGCGCCGGCCCTCGATGGCGGCCTTGCGCTCCCGCGCCAGCAGCGCCTTGGCTGCAACGGCCACCCTGCAAAAAGTGTTTCCAACTTTAGGGGGTTGAGTGGAAAAAGTTCAACCTAAAGTTAAACTCTTTATTTCCCTGAAACAAATAACTTTTTTTGGGGGGTTGGGTGGAAAAACACAACTCGAAATTTAATCAAAAGTGTTTTTCACTTGGGGGGGTTTAAGTGGGGAAAACACAACTTTATTTTGTTGGCCCGCAAAAAGCTTAACAACTTTTGGGGGTTTAGTGGAAAACACACTTATTTCAACCAACAGTTTAACTTTTTCGGGGGGTTGAGTGGGAAACGCTTTTATTGTGTTGACCCCCCTGCAAAAAGCTCAGCAACTTTTTTGGGGGTTTATTTTCAAACACACACCTCGAAATTTCGATCGAAAAGTGAAAGTCTAAAGATCCAAGCCAGCAGTCAAGGCGCGTACTTGCCGAAGGCGAAGGCCAGGGTGGAGACCTCCCGGTGCGTCAAGTCCGCCATGCGGTCCTCTGAGCAACCCACGGCGGACGCGATCGGATCGCGATGGGAGAAGGAAAGGGACGGAGGAAAATACACACCAAAAAAGGAAGCGCGGGGCTGACGCAGGGATCGCCCGAAAAGAAGAAAGGAGGAGGAAAAATGAAAAAAAACGCGGCAAAAAAAAGAAGGAAAGAAAGGCTTAAAGGTGTTGGGAGGTGTGTGGTTTTCTTGGTTTGTAGCGGCTGCCCTGTGATTCTGTCTCTCTTCCCACTCTCTCTCACTCCCCCCTTAGGATGGGTTGGAGCTCATGGAAGTGGGTCCCTGGCTTCCCCAAAAAGAAAGTAGTCCAGAATCCTCCGGTCAGATTCCATTGGAGGGAGGGAAAACACTTTCCAAAAGCGAAGTGCGTAGCACCCCCCACACACAAAGACAAACAACCAAAAAAACATCCGACAACAACTAATACAACCAAAAAAGGAGAAAAACAAACGGGGAAACACACACGCCAAGAAAAAACATCCAACAACAAATTCCTTCCAAACCAACAATCGAAAAGAAAAAAGAAGAAACAAAACACGCAACAAACCCACAGACCCCCGCCGTTTCTTTCGTGTCTTCCCCGCCCGGCGCCTCCACCAGCAGCTTCATCCGGTCCAGGGCGTCGTCCACGTCCTCCAGCTGCCCGGCCGCCTGCGCCAGGCCCATGGCGCTCATGCAGAGCATCCGGGGGCTGAAGTCCTCCATGACCTCGCTGGTGCGGAATCGCGCGGAGCGCCCAAGGAGCTCAAGGAGCTCGGAAAAAGCTCAAGGAGCTTGGAGCGGACTTGTTTTTTTGCTTCATGTTTGTTAGTCTTAGGGTTCTTTTTTTTGGGGGGGGCAGCCCAAGGAGGGAGCTCAAGGAGCTCTCAGGGATCCGAGCCAGGTTTGTGTGTTGTTGTTTGTTTGTTGTTTTGTGTGTGTGTGTGTTTCTTGCTTCTTCTTCTTTTTTTGGGGGGGGGTTTGGTTTTGGGGGGCTCAACAACCCACTAAAGGGTAGAAAGATGTATATAGCCAATTCTTCGTGGTGTTGGCCGATTGAGTGGATTGGCCAGAAAAAAAACTGAACTGTTTGTTTGCCACTACATCATCGTCTTACCAAAAAGTTTAAAAGTCCATGAACTCAGGGAGTGAGTTTCTATAGTTTCCATTACCTACCAACCCACTAAAGAGTATATGCCGCATTTTTTTGCCGTGGAGGTTTTGGTCAGAGGGCTTCACCACCAGCAGGGGTTCAATGGGATATACAACCACGAAAACAGCCGCTGAGCCACTGAAGAGTACACAGCCCATCTTCAATGGGGGTAGTGGTTCAGAGGGTTTCCGAGCCACTTCCCTTTAAAGGGAACAGTAGCGATCGTTTCAACGGGAACCACCTGTCAACTGCAACGGGGTTAATGGGATACACAACCCACTACGTAAAGGATGTTTACCCCAGTTTCCCCGCATGGTAGCCAAAAGTGATTGTTCTATGGTTGGTGTTTTTTCCTTATTCACCCCTTACTGAGGCCTCATTGAGATTCTAGGCAAACCCTGGTTACTTGGGGGTGTGTCCTTTTTTCAGAGAACCCCTTTTTGCGAGACTTTAAAAGGAAGCCGAAAAAAGAATACAACCATTTTTGGGGGTCTCCAACTTAGTTGGTGGAGAGCGTTCTCATTTGCGCAAAGGACCTGGAAATAAAAGGTGGTCACCGCTAAACCAAATAACCCAAAGTTCAGGTTGCTTAGCTGGTTGAGAGTTAGGCTTGCCAGCTGAGAGTTATACGTGGGCAACATCCATAACCCCATTTGGGATGGATGAAACCCTATGGATCCTGAAAGCTTTAGTTTACTAGGTTGAGGGTGTTAGGTGTTAGATGCTGGGTTCAAAGAGTTCGGTTTAGTTAAGAGCTTTGATATTTGATAGGTGCTGTTTCTGCCTTTACGAGTTTGTTAGAACTCATACACACGTGTTTATACATATCTACATGGATATATCTATATATATATACATGTAATCACAATACACACGTATAGTAATTATTGTACGTATGTGCGCTCTGCTGTTTCCAACGACGAACAAAGTATCAGGGGCCCACGCCCAGCAGGCGACGCGCGCGAAAGCTGAGCTCCCTAGGCTTGCCCTGTAACACCCCGCCAGTCAGGTGACACTTGGTGTGTGGAGTGCGTCTGGATTTGAACCTCTTCTTTCAGGAACAAAAAAAAACATTAACAATAATAATAATCACAATAATAGTAAACGCACCCGCTCACCAGGCCAAATCACCGGGCTCCAAACCAGGGAAGCAGCCGATGAAGCGACCCAATTTAAAATTGCCCCGAGATCAGTGGTTACTTGGGGAACCAGTTGGTGGCTGGATCGCGGTGGTTTGGACCTTAGCGGGGTACCAAAACCTCACTTGGCCTCAAAGGAACAAGGGTCCCAAGCATTCAAATCCCCAAGCCATCAACTGAGCGCTATCTGACAAGTGGTTGCCTTGTCCGTTTTTCTCTCCTCCAGAACAAACCAAAACCAGCCCAAACCACACCGAACCAACACCCAAACCAATCAAAACCAAACCAAAGCCAAAACCAACTGTAGCAATCCCAAGGGTCCGATTCAACCCCCCGATGTCCGCTTTTTTCTCCCGGTTTCCTCGGGTTTCTCTCGCGCCTGCGTGAGCTGTCGGGCCAGGGCTGACACGGCCTTCCGCTCCCAGTACTCCAACTTCCCATAGGTGTAGCACAAACACGCCAGGTTCAATGGCTGGCAGTCTGACAGCTGCGTCTCCTCTACGTTTCGCTCCGCGCGGAGCGGCGTCTCCGTTTTGTTTTTTGGGATTGATGGTTCGTCGCGTGTTTTTTTTGGCAGCAAGTGCACCAGATGTGCCAATTTCGATTGGCAACAGAGCAGGGTGAGGGTGGGCGCTGTTTTTATTATGCAAAAAAACAATATAAACAAAAAGCACAATACTGACTCCAAGGTAAAGCAATCCTCACTTTGTTTGTGTCGGGACGTTTTTACCGCTGGCTTCCCTCAACAAAGGCCATAAATGAGCCGGGTCTCCAAAGATGAAAACATGGCGCCCTCAAAACAGCTCAAATGGGAGAGGAAAGCCACAAATCTGTTTGGTCCAGACTCAAATACGACTGTTGCACAGGTCCGAAAAGCAATTCCGGCGCAGGTCGCGAGGGGAAAGTTGAAGATTGTGGAGCTGACTGGCGACTTCGCCCTCACCTAAGCCTATCATCAGCTGCCCTCTAATTGGTGGTTTGGAGTGGCGGCTTGGTGGTTTCCCATTTCTCTACAAAAGCCAGGGGTTCAAATCCCCAAACCAATCCAAACCACCAACTAGGGCTTACCTGATATCAACTACACGCTCCGAAAAGCCCCAAACCAGTAAAGCTGTTGGGCAAATCCTTGGATGGGCCCCTCGTTGGGGATATGAGTTAGGGTGAGGGTAGGGCCCTAACATATGGAGGAATAGCGACTAATGTGCTGGTTGACTCCAATGCCAAAAGCATGAAACCTCAAGTTGTGGCAAGAATGCAAAGCTTTGCGTTTATCACGAAATTGTTTTGCACAACAGTGTATGACTTCCTAGAAGTTCCTTGGGTGGGTCGCGTGTTGGGACGCTCTCACGCGAGCTCGCAGTGGCAACAATCCCACCCATTCGGCGTGTCTGGCGGTTTCCCTTGTGACAAAAAGGGTAACCTCGGAAAAAAGAAGAAGAAGAAAACAACGCGCCCAATTGAGTCTGTGTTTCACACGCCCACATCATGGCAAGGCGCCTAAGTTGGATGGCATGTGGAACTGCATGTAGGGTTGATCAAAAGGTCCTTTACATTTTACGTAGGATAACCATTGGAGACAAGCCACCAAAAAAAAAGAGATATAGTTTCTACCAAATGGGAGAAGCTAGCCCCGCGAATGGGGAAAACTCACCTCCCGAGCGGATGGCCCAAAAAAAAGGAAAGCTCCCAAGCTTTTTGCTTCTGCGACCCCTAAAAAGCGACCAAAGTCCCAAGTGAGAACCAACTTCTTGCTTTTGCACCCCCAAAAAAGTGACGAAAGTCCCATTGACCTCCGACCTCCGGCGGGCCCAGGTCTCGAGCCGGCCTCGATGTGCTTTCCGATCTCCTCCATGATCCTTCGGTCCCGGATGCCCAGGCGCATGCAGGCGTAGACGATCAGCACCAAGGAGTTGGTATCGAAGTCCTGGGCGAAAAACAACAACAAAAAAACGCACCTCTACCTCTCTTGTTATTGTGTGTGTGTTTTTTGGGTCTCTCTCTCTCTCTCTACATATATATATATATTTATTTATTTATATTTAGGGGATACACAGCCACCTTGGAAACCATCATGGAGCCCCATGGGCTTTCTCCTGGGCGAACCCCCCAAATCGCTGGCGAAAAGCGACGAACTTTTCGTGGGGGAAATGCGGAAACCCAGCCACCAAACAACCCAGAAGCCTCTAAAACGCTAAGGAACCGGACAGCCTGGAACCAGCAAGTTTCGGAGAAGCCGCCAAAAAAGGGCGATCAGCGTGTTTCTCTGATTGGCTTGGGATTGGTTTGGTGGCGAAAGGGTCCTCGAAAGCCAGTCCAAACCATCGACTTGGGGTTGCCGGATTTCGGGGCTCAAGCATTTCGAGAAACAAAGATATCCCGGAGGCGGTGGGAAGTGCTCTTTCCGCACGAAAAGCCTTCCGCAGGTTCATAGAATGGGCTGACTGGTCGGACCCCCGAAAAAATTGACCACTTTTTGGAGTCCCTAACTGCGGTGTCCTTTTTGCAGTACTCCAGTGGGGATTCAGCTGGCTCCCTCTTAGAACTCATGGCCAATTCGCTCTGGGCAAAGTACTCGAGAGCCAGGTGAAATAGGCACGATGTCAGCTTCCCTCTTGGTGCTTCGATTTAAGAGTAGCGGGTGGTTTCCGATTCGCATGAGCTAGGCTTTCAAACCTCCAAACCGCCAATGAATACCAGGGTAACCTGAAACTTTGAGACATCCATCCCAAAAAGAAAACTCGCTGGCCGATCCTAATCCGCAACCCCTCATAGGGAAAATCCACCACAAAAGGAGACCCCAAGGAAAGGATCTCGCGCAGAAAAAAAAGGAGCTCGGAACCTGTGAAAACGGCCAGCCTTCAAGATCGATTCTTCCCCCTGTTTGAACACAAAGCGAATTCGCCTCCAGAAAAACACGCGCACAGACACGCACCAACACACAACAAACATGTATATATATAGTTATATATGTATATGTATATATATATCTGTAAATGTACATACACACACGTACACATACACATACCCTCTTTAGACCCCCCCCCCCCCCGAAAAGAAAAAACAAAACAACAAGCCCAGGTGACATCCAACAGCGTGCAACCAATCCGTTCGCACCACTTTGAAGCCATGGTTGAAACCCTGGTTCGTTTAGTATTTACAAGGGGGTCTTCAGATTTCATGGATTCTTAGGTGGTGCGAACGGAGTTCGTCCATCCACAGTACCAAAGACAACCCCTGTCCCCGGATCCCCTGCTAAAGGTGACTAACTTTTAGTGGGTGAAATACGGAAACCCAACCACTAAACCCCAAAAGCCTAAAAAAGCCTAAGCACCGCCAAGTTCACAGGGGGTTCTTTTGGTACGGAAGGTGGCAACTGAAAGCCAAGTTTCCCACGAGCCGTGGGCAACCTTTTCCCGGTTGGGTTGAGAGGTCTTGCCCATAAGGCCAAAGACATGGTTCCCTTGCTGTTTTTGTTTGTTGTTGTTGTTTAAACAAATCTCGGTTCATTGCCTTGCCTAACCTCACCTGCCCAAAGGACCCACCTGGATCGCCAGTGGCGGCCTTTTTTCCAAGCACTTTACCCCAAAAAGCAGCAACAGTGACTGATAAAAAGCAGCAACTTGGCTGTTATATAAGCTGCTGCGGCCGTGACTCAAAATGGATACATGGACATCCAAAGGTCCAAAGGTCGATTCGCTTTGAACAACTGAGTGACTGATCCCAATGAATCTTCAGGACGTTTTGTCGCAATTTGACTTTGACCAGTGCTCAAAATCGGCGTCTCTGCTAATTTTGACACCGGCCTATTTTTTTTTTTTTTGTGGGGGGGGATGGTCCCTCCAAAAATGGTCTGACTGGGGACCCAATCCAAATCAACCAGGGTTTTGGATGTTCTATTCAAGCCCCCCAAGCCGATTGGGTAACGGAGTGGGTCGAAGTCATGCGGATCTGAACTTTATTGGGTCTGCGGCGAAACAAAAGGGCTCACTCGCTTCCGCAGCTGGGCCGAGACAAAAAAGAAAGCCCCAAACGGGTTTGCTTGCCACTCCAATGGGTCCAACCAACCCCCAAGAACTCCTATCTCCGTCCGAGTGGGAGATCCAGGCCATGCCCTCGATGCGATCCAAGGCGCCGGGCGGCCCTGCAGCTCTGCGATCAGGGCCTTCATGAGGCTAGGCTTCGGCCGAGTTCCGGAGTAGCCCATGGAGAACATCAGCAGCCCGATGGACATCGGAGAGTAATGGTTCCTTGGCTCCGTTTTTTTTCTTCTTCGATTTGGGGGGGCGTGTCGCACCATGGGCTCCCTCTCTGAACATTGGTGTCGGTGTTCTTTCTGCTCCTCCTTAAGCACCACCCCGAAAAGGGTACCCTCAAGAAAAAACACCCATTTGTTTCATCTGCCTGTTTTGAAAGACAAGTAGACATATCTTAAAACAACATATTGAATCAACCTGTTGTGTAAGACAAGTGGAAAGAAACACAAATCAGGCAGGCCTTAGTTCTGGTTTAAACGTTTGATCAACCTGCTTTTGGCCAAGTGGGAAACACAGGACGCCGAAAGATAAAAGCAAAAAAAAACGTAACCCTTCACATCGGATTGAGTTGAACTCCATGGACGCAACTGAAAAAGGGCGGGGCGGCCCAGAACCAACACGCAAACAATCCAAACCGCCATAATTAAGCATAAAGTGATAGCAGCAGAGAGCCACACAACCCGCTGCTGGTGATTTCTTGTTAGTAGTTAGGCGTTCCTCTTTCTGGGGAACTTGCCCGAAAACGATGGGTCGCTGATGTGTTGTGGGCATTCCTTACCCCGCTATACATGTCTCAGAGCACCTTTAGAAACAAACGACTAAATATGGGCCAAACCAGGAAAGCCAAAAGGCAAGTGAGATGATCCCCTTGTGCCTTTCTCGCATTGCGAGTGCGTACAACTGATAAACACACAAATGAAGGAAGCTTCTTATTCGGGGTACACCCCCCCTCCATTATCACCCCTTGTCCAAAACATCGCAAATTTCGAGGTTCCGGCTCAAGATCCGAGAAAATATCATTCAAGGTGCATGCGAGTGGTTGCATCAGCGGCAATGGCAGTAGTTAGCTCGCTGTCGAAAATATTCAGCCGGGCGCAAGCCCAAAGGACAGTCGTCAAAGTCGTTGCTTCCAAATCGCTCACGCGAGCCAGCGTCTGCTTCTTGGCAGCCGTGAACAGGCGCGCAAAGTTGGGGTCCGACTGGATCTGCCTGGCTGCGAGCTCGTCATCACGCGCGTTGATGGCGCACTTGTGCAAGGCCGCCGCCGAGTTGTAGACGTCGAACTTCGGCAGGTACTCCTCCACCAGCTTCAGCACCGCCTGGTACTGGGACTCAGAGCCCAGGCGGTGGTGGATGATCAGCGAGGAGCTGGACCTGGACGGGATCTCTTCGATCATGAAGCTCAGCTCCTGAGGCTCGGTCAACACCTCCGCTCCCAGCTCCAAGGGCACATCCTCGCTTGCTAGCAACGACCCACCCTGCAAGAAGTGGACCACTTTTTTGGGGGAGGGTTGGTAGAAAACACACTTTATTTCAACCGAAAAGTTAAAGTCTCCAGATCCAAGGCAAGAGCAGTCAAGCGTCCAGCTCCATCTCCTCCGCCCGCCGCGCGGTTTTCGCCCTCCTTTCGCCGCGTCTCCCACGGCCGGGCCGGGCGAAGGCGCCCGCCGAGGCCGCGGCCAGGGCGGCCCCGGCCGTGCGGCCGGCATCGCCCCGCCCCGGACGCCGGGCGCGGGAAGCGACGCGGGCGGCACCTTCTGCCGGCGACCGATTCGGCAGCCGAGTCGCCGCCCAAGACGGCGCAGCCGCCAATGGCGTGGCTGGCAACATGGCAAAATCACATGGAGAAGGAAGGCTAAGCAAGCTAAGAGTGGGTCAAGAGTGGAGCTCATTTGGCAAGACTTGCTGGTGACACTTGGTTGAACTTGGCTTGCACTCCTTCATTGGTCAGAGCCCGGCAGCATGCATGGAGCATGGTCTGAGTCTGCAACTCTCTCCCGCTGCATCGCCCATGTCCCATTCTCAAAAACTATTGCGTTGTCCCGGTGGCTGCCCCCCACTGGCAAAAAAAGCACCATGCCTAGGTCCGGGCACTGGGGGACCTAGATGCCCCCGAAAAATCTCCGCTTCGACACATTTCAACGGCTCCGAAGCTCCGAAAGCCGACCCGCGAAAGCGGGGTTGGGGGGTGGACCCCAAACCCAAATCTCTGTCTCCTCCGGGCTGCCCCTGGCGAGAGAGACAGCGCGTTTTAAGCGGGGACTTGTCCAAAACCCGAGCTTGCTCTGGGTTCTAAGACTAGGTCTTTTAGTAGAGAGGTTAGAATAAGTTGGCACCAACTTTTTTCGGCTTTGTCTATTTTAGTAGGTTTGAACCCTCCCCCCCAAAAAAGGATAATTACTACTGGGGGACCTAGAAGATGAGTGTCAACTCCTGAGTAAATGAGCTCAACAAAGCGACCAAAACGGGTTGCTTACCACGCAGATGAATTGCAACCAACCCCAAAAGGCTTGAAGTTCAACTCGGGGAGCGAGGAGTTTACGTCGGCCTTCCGGCCAAGTAATTCGTAGAGCCCTACGGCCCATGGGCCTGGGCTTGCTCTACTTCGGGCCACAAGGACTGGGCGTAAAACGCGATCACCTGTTGGAACCCAAAGACGCAATGTTTAGATCTTTCTTGTGGTTCCCCCCCCTTAAAACCAACCCAAAAAAAAACCCAAAAGGAAGACACGCCCAGAAAGGAAAGGGGAACCATTCTTGGACCTTGGCCTAGAAATCCACAAGGTCGGATCCGGTCAATTCGCTTGCCAGCTGGCTTTCAGGATCCTCCACTATGCTGCCCGCACAGGTCGCCATTTCATTTTGTTTCATTTGCGGACAAAAGGTTCTAGCCGAAACAGTCCCCAAAAGAAGACGAGCCTCCCGTACCTAGGGTTCAACCTCCATTGAATGGTTCAAGGTGGTCCACCATTCAAGTTTTCCCGGCCAGGGTTCAACCGCAAATGGAAACAAGGACTAAAACCTGCGGTCCCCTGGTGGTTTAATTTTGACCTGTATATATATGCGGCGAAATGATAGGACATATTGTTTATTTATTTTTGACATAGCTGGATTTCCAAATTATCAGACATTAAAATGCCACGCGCTCTGTTCACACCAGATGCTTTTATAGCGTCTATACTATTTCCATCAGATTTAAACAAAAAAAAAAAAAAAAACATAGCACCAGCAAAATTTGCGTCTCCAGGTCTGGACAATTGCATGGGCATTTGCACACCAGCTCCAACATTTGATCCCAAAAGACCTCCATTGCCTTTTTGCCCCCTGGCCAAAAAATGAGACAATGCGTCCAGTAGTGAAATTGATTCCCTTTAAAACCAGGGAAAGTCCCTCACAATATTCTTAAGCAAATGAAAGAAGGAAACGAAACTTGTTGGAGGCATAAGTGTCCTTTTTGGAAAATGGATGGCCCTGGTAGATGATTGAACCACCAGGTAAGCCAGGAATCGCCCTCCATGTTTTCTGACACCAACCAAAAAGTCGCCACCTATGGTTGGAAAAGCTCTGGTGCTGAGGGATGCTGAGGATCGCCGCGGGAGGTATGCCGCCACTAGCGTGTGCTGCTCACAAGTGGCCAGCCTCGGTGGTCGTTTCTGACGCCAGGGCCACAGGGCGATGGGTCAAGCTGGGTTTTGTCCAGCTGAATATTTATCCACGGATCCCATAAAAGCAAATCGGTGGTTTCCAGAAGATGTCGATCCAAAAACTCACGGCTTTTCAAGTTCCATGTGAATCTGTAGGAGTAGAGGTGGATATATATATATATATACACATATACACACCCACACAAAAATAGTTGATATTGCAATGATAACTTCCTCGCAAAGTGCCTTCACTGAAAGTGGCCCTTCCCGAATTTCCCAGACCCGTGCATTTCCATGGCCGGCCCCAAAGGACCTGGAAATGAATGCGGCGATCACCTGGAAAAGACAACATATGGCGCTACCAAACCAGGGAACCCAACAGCTTAAAACTTCACGACCTTGGGATAGTTGAAAGAATACCTTCTTATTTTATTTTATTTTTTGGGGCCGTGTGCAGGCCCCCACGAAGATGAACAGAATCGAACAAACAAACAAAACGCAAAGCTCGCCAAGAACAGTCCGCTTGGGGCCACAAAAAAAAAAAAAAAAACAAGGACAGACATCGCACCGGCCTGGGACCCTTCCAGGGCCCCGCGCGATTTCACGCACCTCACCTCGCCGGGCTGATTGAAGGGCTCGAAGAGCACCGGCGAAAGCCTGTCGAAAGAAATCGCGGGGCGTTGGACTCGGAGCAAACAAAAACCACGGGCCTTGGTCTCTGTAACGATATGTGGCTGTGGGTCAAAAATATGTGGCTGATGGACCCTTGGCCCAAGGCAAATGGAAACATGGACTAAAACCTAGGTCCCTGGGTGGTTTAATTTTGACCCATACCCACCCCCCAACCCGATTGAAAAGTCAGAGGTCCGGAATGTATGGTGAGGTCTTACTTAGGTGGGTCCAGCAGAAATGTGCCAGGGGAAAATCAACGAGGGCGCTCAGATCCCTTGCCAAAAGCTTCGCTAGCGGGTTACATGAAAACTAAGCGGATTGGGGACAACCAAGCTGTTTCGTGGGAAAATGAGCGAGCCCCCAGCTCAGAAGCCGAGAAGCCGAGGCGTTTGCAAGAATTGAGTTGAAGCCACGTCAAAACCCCAAAACGAAAAGACAAACGGAAACAAACACAAACAGGGGAGCAAAAACAACACTCTCAGGCGGGATATGTTTCATCCCAACTTCAAGTAGCTGTGGCTGTGGCGCTCTCAGCCGCTGGGCACCAAACGCATGGTTGTGGGACTCCCTGCAGACCAAGAAATCGCGGCCGCAAACCTCGGGATCTCGCCAGCTGCTGCGATTTTTGGGCTATGGCTCACGGGGTCTCTCACCTTTTCTCTCACTCCCCTGGTGGATTCGCCACCAAAAAAACGTCCCCGAAGCTTTTGTGTTTGCTATGATGGTCCACAAAAGAAGTGGCTCAAGCCCAAGTTCCGGAACTCTGGAAGTCAGTTGTTGGTTGAATGGGGCCTTTTGTTTCCGAAAGGTCTCAGGTCGGTCACACCCAAGACCCGCCAGGAAGCCAGCGTTCTTTTGGAAAACATTGGTGCTCATGGTGGTTCCCCAGCACCTTAATATCAAAAGTCTCGAGTTCTGAGAGGTTGGGAAATGAAGCCATGAAGCTGTGAAGCTATGAACTCAACATGAGGTGCGTCTTGTTTTGAGTGTGTCCATGTTTGTGGTTTCTATTAAAGCCAAGAGGAAAACCGAAGGCATCTTTGGGGGTCCCCTGAAAAACGTAGTGTTTTCTCCTTTTCTATAATAAAAATAAGCACAGGTGATATCCCCAACAGCACGTGGTGCTCTTTTCAGTGCTCGCACCACCCCGCAGCCCTCGCAGAACCTCGTGGAACCCTTGTGGAACCCTCGTGGAACCCTGGTAAAACCCTCGTGAAACCTTACCTCAGGGCCGCCCCGGACCACCCCGGAGCCTATCTGGGCTGAGACCCCCAAGCTTTCAGCTGTTGGGGAATAAAAATAAAACTAACAACATGAACTGTCTGTCTGCTTGAGTGCTGTGGCCGCTGCCCACAAGCGGTCCACCTGATCCACGATGCAGGTGTGGTAAGTGGCGCAGTGCACCTCCTTCACCAGAACGGACATGGGCACCTGCGCACGGGCATTGAAAGAGTGTTGGGACGCGTGGTTGCTGATCTTGCTGGCAAGACCCCTCTGCACAAAGTGTTCAACTTGTTTTTGAACCAATGGAAAACCCTTGAATTCAACCAAGAAGTTGAAGTCCAAAGATCCAACTCAGCAATCAAGAACGCAGCGGATCAAAGTGGCCAAGTGGGGGGTAGCTTCAAAAAACATGAGCAGCCAAAATCTTACATAGAAACCGACAGGGATATGTTTTTTTAAATGCGAAATTGAAGTTTCAAATATCGACCAAAAACAAGTTGACATCCTGCGGACGCTCTCTCATGTGTGTTTACTGCAAACACGAGGCCCCCGCAAGCGCCGGCACGTACTCATTCTGCATCTCCTGGGCTCTAAGGATGGACGGCCCCAAGGTTGCATCTCCTTCTACCAATACCTGATCTATACCCGCCAAAATCATTGATGGACCATAGGCTGCTGGATGTTTAAACCATACCTCATATTCCAGAAAATGTCCGACATCTCTTTTCACATCCCCAGGCCGCTCTACTTGGTGGTTGTCATTGCTGGTTTGCAAGTGTTCCGCGCTCGGTTTCCCGTTTGTCCCCTGCGAGAACCAGTTGTTCAAATCCAAACCTAAACCACCAACCCAAACAACCAAAAAAGGGCCACCTGATTTTCGACAAGACTCGGAGATTCTGGACAATGACATTTCCGGGCGAGGATGTAAACGAAGATGTGACACGAACACACTGCGGATGGACCACTGGGGACGGATGAAGCCCGATTTAAATACTGGGATTCACCACCTACCAACTGGTGCAACGCGGATTTTGCACAGCCACAGGAAGACTCCCAACCATAGGTATCCTGTTTGGAAAATAGATGGCCCAGGCAAATGGAATGAAAACCTATCTAAACCAGTGCCATCTATGTCTAATCAAGCTAACCGATCAAAGGACGCCTATGCTCCCAAGCTGCTAGAGAAAGGAATTTCCGCCTTCATAGCGCTTCGTGCATTCCTGGTGGACTTTGCCCATCCGCCCCTCTTGGCCGTGAGGTGCTCAGTCAGCACTGAGCCCCTGACGCCGTTGCCCAGGCGACCAAACCACCCAGTGCCGAAAGTCAGCAGTCGCCCATCCTGCCACGCTCGCCAACGTTTGCTTGCCTGATTGCTTAGTTCTACCGTGCTTGCTTAGCTCTATCTTGCTTGCTTGCTTGCTTGCTTGCTTGCTTGCTTGCTTGCTTGCTTGCTTGCTTGCTTGCTTGGCGGTATCTTGCTTGATCAGTTCTATCTTGCTTGCTTGCTTGCTGCTTGCTCTATCCTGCTTTGCTTGCTGTATCTTGCTTGGCTTCTTGCTTGCTTGCTTGGCTGCTTGTTTAACTCTATCTTGCTTTGCTTGGCTGTATCTTGCTTCATCAGTTCTGTCTGCTTGCTTGCTTGGCGGCTTTCTTCTATCTTCTAGCTCTATCTTGCTTGCTTGCTTGCTTGCTTGCTTGCTTGGCGGTATCTTGCTTGATCAGTTCTATCTTGCTTGCTTGCTTGGCTGCTTGTTTAACTCTATCTTGCTTTGCTTGGCTGTATCTTGCTTGATCAGTTCTGTCTGCTTGCTTGCTTGGCGGCATCTTGCTTGATCAGTTCTATCTTGCTTGTGTTCTATCTTGCTTGATTGCTTGCTTGCTTGCTTGCTTGCTTGCTTGCTTGCCTGATTGCTTAGTTCTACCGTGCTTGCTTAGCTCTATCTTGCTTGCTTGCTTGCTTGCTTGCTTGGCGGTATCTTGCTTGATCAGTTCTATCTTGCTTGCTTGCTTGGCTGCTGGTTTAACTCTATCTTGCTTTGCTTGGCTGTATCTTGCTTGATCAGTTCTGTCTGCTTGCTTGCTTGGCGGTATCTTGCTTGATCAGTTCTATCTTGCTTGCTTTGGCTGCTTGTTTAACTCTATCTTGCTTTGCTTGGCTGTATCTTGCTTGATCAGTTCTGCTGCTCTATCTTTCTATCTTGCTTGCTTGCTTGGCTATCTATCTTGCTTTGCTTGGCTGTATCTTGCTTCATCAGTTCTGTCTGCTTGCTTGCTTGGCGGCATCTTGCTTGATCAGTTCTATCTTGGCTTGCTTAGTTCTATCTTGCTTGCTTGCTTGCTTGCTTGCTTGGCGGTATCTTGCTTGATCAGTTCTATCTTGCTTGCTTGCTTGGCTGCTTGTTCAACTCTATCTTGCTTTGCTTGGCTGTATCTTGCTTGATCAGTTCTGTCTGCTTGCTTGCTTGGCGGCATCTTGCTTGATCAGTTCTATCTTGCTTGTGTTCTATCTTGCTTGATTGCTTGCTTGCTTGCTTGCTTGCTTGCCTGATTGCTTAGTTCTACCGTGCTTGCTTAGCTCTATCTTGCTTGCTTGCTTGCTTGCTTGCTTGCTTGCTTTGCTTGATCTTGCTTGATCAGTTCTATCTTGCTTGCTTGCTTGGCTGCTTGCTTGCTAACTCTATCTTGCTTTGCTTGGCTGTATCTTGCTTGATCAGTTCTGTCTGCTTGCTTGCTTGGCGGCATCTTGCTTGATCAGTTCTATCTTGGCTTGCTTAGTTCTATCTTGCTTGCTTGCTTGCTTGCTTGCTTGCTTGCTTGCTTGCTTGCTTGGCGGTATCTTGCTTGATCAGTTCTATCTTGCTTGCTTGCTTGGCTGCTTGTTTAACTCTATCTTGCTTTGCTTGGCTGTATCTTGCTTGATCAGTTCTGCCTGCTTGCTTGCTTGGCGGCATCTTGATTGATCAGTTCTATCTTGCTTGTGTTCTATCTTGCTTGCTTGCTTGCTTGCTTGCTTGCTTGCTTGGCGGTATCTTGCTTGATCAGTTCTATCTTGCTTGCTTGCTTGCTTGGCTGCTTGCGTAACTCTATCTTGCTTGCTTGCTTGGCTGTATCTTGCTTGATCAGTTCTGTCTGCTTGCTTGCTTGGCGGCATCTTGCTTGATCAGTTCTATCTTGCTTGTGTTCTATCTTGCTTGATTGCTTGCTTGCTTGCTTGCTTGCCTGATTGCTTAGTTCTACCGTGCTTGCTTAGCTCCATCTTGCTTGCTTGCTTGCTTGCTTGCTTGGCGGTATCTTACTTGATCAGTTCTATCTTGCTTGCTTGCTTGGCTGCTTGTTCAACTCTATCTTGCTTTGCTTGGCTGTATCTTGCTTGATCAGTTCTGTCTGCCTGCTTGCTTGGCGGCATCTTGCTTGATCAGTTCTATCTTGGCTTGCTTAGTTCTATCTTGCTTGCTTGCTTGCTTGGCGGTATCTTGCTTGATCAGTTCTATCTTGCTTGCTTGCTTGCTTGGCTGCTTGCGTAACTCTATCTTGCTTGCTTGCTTGGCTGTATCTTGCTTGATCAGTTCTGTCTGCTTGCTTGCTTGGCGGCATCTTGCTTGATCAGCTCTATATTGCTTGTGTTCTATCTTGCTTGCTTGCTTGCTTGCTTGCTTGCTTGCTTGCTTGCTTGCTTGCTTGCCTTGCTTGCTTGCTTGCTTGCTTGCTTGGCGGTATCTTGCTTGATCAGTTCTATCTTGCTTGCTTGCTTGGCTGCTTGTTTAACTCTATCTTGCTTTGCTTGGCTGTATCTTGCTTGATCAGTTCTGTCTGCTTGCTTGCTTGGCGGCATCTTGCTTGATCAGTTCTATCTTGGCTTGCTTAGCTCTATCTTGCTTGCTTGCTTGCTTGCTTGCTTGCTTGGCGGTATCTTGCTTGATCAGTTCTATCTTGCTTGCTTGCTTGCTTGGCTGCTTGCGTAACTCTATCTTGCTTGCTTGCTTGGCTGTATCTTGCTTGATCAGTTCTGTCTGCTTGCTTGCTTGGCGGCATCTTGCTTGATCAGTTCTATCTTGCTTGTGTTCTATCTTGCTTGCTTGCTTGCTTGCTTGCTTGCTTGATTGCTTAGTTCTACCGTGCTTGCTTAGTTCTATCCTGCTTGCTTGCTTGCTTGCTTGGCGGTATCTTGCTTGATCAGTTCTATCTTGCTTGATCAGTTCTATCTGCTTGCTTGCTTCGCGGCATCTTGCTTGATTGTTTTACCGCGCTTGCTTAGTTCGATCTTGCTTGCTTGCTTGGCGGTATCTTGCTTGACCAGTTCTATCTTGCTTGCTTGCTTGGCTGCTTGTTTAACTCTATCTTGCTGGCTTGCTTGGCTGTATCATGCTTGATCAGTTCTATCTGCTTGCTTGCTTGGCGGTATCTTGCTTGATCAGTTCTATCTTGCTTGCGTTCTATCTTGCTTGCTTGCTTGCTTGCCTGATTGCTTAATTCTACCGTTCTTGCTTAGTTCTATCTTGCTTGCTTGCTTGCTTGCTTGGCGGTATCTTGCTTGATCAGTTCTATCTTGCTTGCTCTTGCTTGATCAGTTCGTTCTTGCTTGCGTTCTATCTTGCTTGCTTGCTTGATTGCTTAGTTCTATCTTCCTTGCTTGCTTGGCGGTATCTTGATTGATCAGTTCTATCTTGCTTGCTTTGCTTGGCTGCATCTTGCTTGATCAGTTCTATCTGCTTGCTTGGCGGCATCTTGCTTCTTGCTTGCGTTCTATCTTGCTTGCTTGCTTGCTTGCGCGCTTGGCGGTATCTTGCTTGATCAGTTCTATCTTGCTTGCGTTCTATGTTGCTTGCTTGCTTGCTTGCTTGCTTGCTTGCTTGCTTGCCTGATTGCTTGGTTCTTCCGCGCTTGCTTAGTTCTATCTTGCTTGCTTGCTTGGCTGTATCTTGCCTGATCAGTTCTATCTTGCTTGCTTGCTTGCTTGCTTGGCGGTATCTTGCTTGATCAGTTCTATCTTGCTTGCTCTTGCTTGATCAGTTCTATCTGCTTGCTTGCTTGGCAGTATCTTACTTGATCAGTTCGATCTTGCTTGCGTTCTATCTTGCTTGCTTGCTTGCTTGCTTAGTTCTATCTTCCTTGCTTGCTTGGCGGTATCTTGATTGATCAGATCTATCTTGCTTGCTTTGCTTGGCTGCATCTTGCTTGATCAGTTCTATCTTGCTTGCGTTCTATCTTGCTTGCTTGATTGCGCGCTTGGCGGTATCTTGCTTGATCAGTTCTATCTTGCTTGTGTTCTATCTTGCTGGCTTGCTCGCTTGCCGGATTGCTTAGTTCTTCCGTGCTTGCCTATGTTGCTTGCGTGCTTGGCGCTATCTTGCTTGATCAGTTCTATCTTGCTTGCGTTCTATGTTGCTTGCTTGCTTGCTTGCTTGCTTGCTTGCTTGCTTGCTTGCTTGCTTGCTTGCTTGCTTGCTTGCTTGCTTGCTTGCTTGCTTGCCTGATTGCTTGGTTCTTCCGCGCTTGCTTAGTTCTATCTTGCTTGCTTGCTTGGCTGTATCTTGCCTGATCAGTTCTATCTTGCTTGCTTGCTTGCCTGCCTCATTGCTCAATTTATTTTGGTTGCTTGGCTTTCTTGGCTGTATCTTGCTTGGTTCCTGGCTTGCTTGCCTACTTGCTTGCTTGTTTGCGTGCCTGCTTACTTGCATGTTTCTATCTTGCGTGCCTGCCTGCCTGCTTGCTTCCTTGCTTGCTTGCTTGCCTGCTTACTTGCTTGCTTCCTTGCTTGCCTGCCTGGTTGCCTGCTTGCCTGCCTGCCTGCTTGCTTGTTTGCTGTTTGCTTGCTTGTCTGGTTTTATGTTGCGTGGTTGCTTCCTTGCTTGCTTGCTTACTTGCTTGCTTGGTTTTGGCCTTGCTTGCTTGCACGTGTGTCCGTCTGTTTGTTTCCTTGCGTTCTTGCTTGTTTGCCTGCTTGCCTAGTTTTATCTTGCTTGGTTGCTTCCTTGCTTGCCTGCTTGGTTTTGCCTTGCTTGCTTGCATGTGTGTTCGTCTTTTTATTCTGTTTCATTGCTTGCTTGCTTGTTTGGTATTGTCTTGCTTGCTTGCATGTGTGTTCGTCTGATTGTTTTCTTGCGTGCTTGCTTGCTTGCTTTGCTTGCTTGCTTGCTCGTTGTAGCCTGCTTCGTTGCTTGCTTGTTGGCCTTATTCTTGCTTGCGTATGTATTTGCTTGTTAAATTATTCGCTTGCTTGCTTGTGTGATGTTATCTCGATTGGCTGCTTCCTTGCTTGCTGTTTTGGGCTGTTCTTGCTCGATTGCTTCCTTGCTTGCGTGTTTGGTTTTATCCTGCTGTTTGTTTGCTTGTTTCGTTGGTTGGTTGGCCGGTGGGTTCCAAACGGGCCCAGGAGCCTCTGCGGAAATCCGAACTCCGCAGATCTGGGCACAGACCAAGATCCATAGCTTTCAGCCGAACTTGGTCCTTCTCAACATCCTGCCTTGGGCGGTATCCTTGAAACACCCCAAAAACATGTGAAACAGAAAACCCAATTTAATTAAACAGAAAAAAAACAAAAGGAAACCCAAGAAGGCTTTACTTTAAAGGCAAACCCCAAAAGGAAATCCCAGAAGGCTTTACCCCAGCTTTTCAGATTGTCCTTTCTCCAAGCGGCAATGCTCGCGCCTGGGTGATCAGCGCGGAGTGCTGGGACCTAAGGACTCTCGCGTCGCACGTGCCCATCCTACTGTGGATGGTTGCGAACTCCATTTCGCACCACCGAAGAAACCCTGGTGTCTGATGATTCCCCGGTAAATCCCAAGCAAGAAATGGTGTCCACCCATGGTTTCAAACAGTCAAAAAGATGATCTAATGTACATAAAACGGGATGGAATAACATGAAAAACGGGATGGAATGGTTCCATAAATCATGTTTAGATGATTTCCCTTCTAAACACCAACAAACAACGGTTCCTACGTTTTGTTTTGGTGCAGGATTTCGTCCACCCACAGTAGGCGTCCATATGGCAATCCAGAATCCAAGAGCCAAGGGCACACCCCCCGATCCACATTTGGATAAGGGGCTGAACTCGAGAAATCCGTTGACATGTGTCGAATCTGTGCTTTTTTTTTGTAGGATGTTAAAAGGGTGCTTAGAAAAAAAAAAAAAAACGAAAACAGGAACAACAAAGGGAAGAACTTCCAGCATTGGGATTTCCAGCATCCGGGCACGTGCCAAGAGAAAGCCGCAGTGACTCTTCGGACCCGCAGGCCGGAGCAGTTGACATGGGAAATTTCCGTCCAGGTTCGGCAGGGCCAACTTCTGGTCTCAACGGCTATCCAATTTAGGGCAGCTTCTGGATCCAAAAGGCCGTGAAAAGTTGGAGCGAGGCGGGAAAATAAGCCAACCAACCAAAAAAAACACCCTCTCAACTGGCCGTGTTGTTCTTCCATTTGGTCAAGGCCCCAGGAAAAAACTAAAATATTTCTAGTAGTGATGAATTCCTTTTAAACCCAAGGGGAAATTTACCCAAAAATATTCATTTCAGCAAATGGAGGTTTTGTGGGAGGCAAAACTCGACCAAAACAGTTGCACCTCTGCAAAGATGGGTCTCCAAGGTGGGGGCTTCCCAAAAACTCGCCCACCTTGGGGGGGGGGGACGAATCCAGGTCGGAGCTGGAGCTGCCAAGCATAGGTGGCCTTTTTGGAAAAATGGATCTGGTAAATGGGGCATAAAACCCATCCACACCAGTGGAACCCATCTATTCTTTTTTAACCACGCCAACCTAAAAGGACACCGATGCTGCGATGAGTGCTTTTTGGGCCCTTTTGGGCGCAGCTCGAGCCCGGCACCCGCAGGCCACGCTGCGCAGCACCCGCAACTGGCGGAGAAAAAGCAGCGGTTTTCCCGGCGGGGGATTCGCGCCCCCAGGGCCCGCAGTTTTCGAAACCCGGGGGTGTTGACGGAGACCACATTTTTCGGCATTCCCCGTATCAGGTTTAGCCGGGAATTCGGGTGCTGGGGTTTCGCCATCATCATAGGTGTCCTTCTAGGGGAAAAAGAGATGGCCCTGCTCCAGGTAAACCAGGGCCATCTGTTTTTCTAGCGAGACAACCAAAACGGACACCTAGGGGCACGACCAGAGAGAACTTTGAAGAACCAATCCGAGATGCTTCTGAAAGTTTGGTCCCGAGTCTCGCAAGTTGAGTTGGACCACCGCCGAATCAGGTTTCAGGTTTCCTTCGGGGCCGGGGGGGGTGGGGGGTTCTCAAAACGAGGGGCTGAGTGATTTCAGTCTTGCCCAAGTCGGTTCAAAGGGACATGGCTCTGGCAACTGATTGGTACACATCTCGGGCTTCTCTCAGAGGAACTGGTCCATTTCCTAGGCAAGGTGGTCCTTTCAGTGATCACTAGCTGAGTGGATGGCCCAAAAAAAGTAACCAAACTTTATATTCACCGCTAAAATGGTCTTCCCAAAAAGTTTAAAGTTCATGAACTCAGGAAGTGAGTCAAGCTTCCCGATGATTTTCAAGCCACAGGTCATAAGAATTCAAGAATTCCATGTCGAGAACCTTCCACGTCAATAGCATCCAGCAAATGAGATTGACAAATCTACCATCCGGCACTAAAAGCCATGTGGCGAGAACCCCGCCGCGCGGAAGTTTGAACAGCTCTCCTCTGGCTTGGGGCACGGACATGTTCAACCAAGAAGTTCAAAGGCCTGAAAATCCACTAAAACAGCAGCCAAGATAAAGAAACCACCCGCGCCCGCGGACTTTTCCCAAGCTCTTCCGCCCTGGGAAACGCAGCAACAACGAAAAAAGCGCCGATTGACGGTGCGTGGGGGGTGGGGGGGCGAAAAAAAAGCATGCTGCGCTCCAAGCCACGCAGATTCATGGGTTGAGGCAAAGCAGATGGCACAGGTCCCCCCAAGCTCAGCGATTAGGTTTGCGGTTTTTCCGGTTCCACTAGATTTCCCAAACAGGCGTTCAACCATGTTGATCCTCAGTCCATGCTTTTTCTGCCCGTGGCTCTTAGGACCTAATAGGGGCCTCGGGTCACTCGTCACCCTCTGTTTCTCTTACTCTCTTTCTTATTTTTATATTTTCATCATTCTTATATTTTCCCTTTTTCTCCTTCTTTTTCTCTCTATTTCTGTATTCTTCACACCCCTCCCTGTATCCACATTGGTAAATCATGCCATCAGCCAACCTCACCCTGGTGCTACTGCAAGGCTTCGCGACAGCTCTGCTGCTGAAGCGTCGCGTGCCGGGAAAAGCGCCACCATGGGAAACAAATAGGGTCCGTCTTCGTGCCGATGACCCTCTCAACCTGAAAACTTGACATGCGTCTTGTTTTTAGCGGGGACGCCCTCGAACAAAGACACACACTCCCCATTTTAACCGTTCAAAAGGCACTTCATGGCACTTCTGCAGCAGCACTGCCGCTGTACATTACATCGGCCCGTCCAAGTCAACAGCGCGCTGGGAACAAATACATGGCTCCCTATATTTCCCCTCAAAACATCACAAGCGCCAAGGGAAACTCACCTTCAATGGGCCAAAAGGTGATGTTTAAAAACTACCAAAAAGGGAACTATAGGGACCCCATGAAATATCAAATCATATGCGTCCCGCCGTACGCGACGCGTGGCCGGGAATTTCGAATCCTGCGAAGATTCGCCCACCTTGGGTGGGCCAATCGATCTGCACAACAGGCGTTGAGAAATAGATGGAGCCGCATTCGCGTAGCCGGGTGACCAGCGCCATCTATTTTCAACCAAACTGACCTAGGATCTAAGAGGCCCTTCCGCCACAGCCTCACTCGTTCTTGGAAGCCTCCTGCGCAACAAATCCAATCCCCGTGCAACCCTGGAACCCCTCAAGTGCACGTCGGCGAATGCTGCAAACCCGCGCAAAGACACACGGCTCACACAAAACATGTTGCGCACAAGCACGTGCGCACACGCACACGCGCACCAGACACACACACACACACACAGACAGACAGACACGGACACACACACACACAGACAAACAAACAAACACCCACCCACCCACCCACGCACGCACGCGCACAGGGCGGGACGCACGCAAAACATCGCAAAACACAAACAAAAAGACAATCACAGATTCTGCCATCGAAATCATTTGGAACCGTCGGCACAACATGACAATATGTGCTTCGAACACAGTCACAGCGGGCCTGAAAACATTCGAAAACAACATGCATAGAGGAGAGAGACGGCATGCGTCAAAATTGAGGGAACCTCCAAAGCCGAGACCTGAAATCTCATGCCAACTTCGTGTACTGAGTTACTTGCCCCATGTTCAGTGAACGGGATCCATTTAAAGCTGAGGGACCCTTAAACGACCATGGCTTTACAGAATGGCGGCTCCTTCGCTCCCTGTAAAGCAAATTTGGATATTCGCGCCCGAACGGCTCCCTCCCGGCCACCAGCTAGACATGGTGTTTGTTCGTCTTGATTTCTCTTTTCTCCAGTCAGGACACCATAGGAAACCCACAGGAATGCCAAAAAGGCTCTCAACTACCCTTGTACCTCCTTTGAGGATTCCATAAGAAGGGGTTCGCCCCTCTAAAACAGCTGAAACAATTCGAACCACTGGAGGTCTTTAAAAAAAACAAAAGAAAAAAAAAAACTAGACAAGCCATCATGAGGCCGCCCTGCAAGCTCTCCTCTTGCTTTTTGGGCTTCTTCACGGTAGTCCGCCCTGGCACGTCCTGGACAGGGAAACAGGGGAATGCTTCGATGCTTGTGAATAGTTTGGGTGTTCTTAGCTTTCTTGTCGTTGTGTTCTTTTCTTCTAGTGTTCCCTCAGTTTGTTTGTTTTCTTTTGGGAAAGCATGGCTGTTGGCTGCGACTCACCAGGAAACATTGAAGGCACACAGTTCCCGAATGGACCTTTTCAACATCACAACAAACTGGAAACCCTGCCAAACCATGGCACGAGCTTCTTCTGTTTTTCTGTGCACCCGTCGCACGCATCCCCATCACGTCCCATGATAAACGACATCACGCCCAACAACACGGGATCTCCACTGCGACTTCGATGCTCCCGAGCCATGTGCGCTTCTCCGTTTTCGAGGCTCGGCTAAGTTTTGGGATTGGGTTGCTTGAAAGGGACACTTTCTTCCATTGCTTAAGACCCCTGGAAAAAAATAACTTATTCCAGTGGTGGTAGAGTCCCTTTAAAACCAATAAGGGAAACTGACAGCAGATTCTTGAGCACATGGCAGCTTTCTAGGGAGAGGTGTTTGTTGAGGATACCCTTGGCTGGCTTACAGGGAACCCAGAAGGAAACCACCTGTTTGGAGGGTTCCTCTTTGAGACAAACCCAGCGGGGTGCCTATTTCAACACAGACACACACGCACACGGCTCGGCGATATATTGCAGTCGGGTACTCTGTGCCTTTTTCTTCTCCTCAAGCGGCGCAGCTGACGCTGCCAGGCTGTCCTCGCGGCGACCGCTCTATCAAACGGTGCCAGCTTCACTCCTTTGACACTGCATGCAGTATATATTTGCGTAGAATAAACAAATGCATGTCCACATACATAGGTATATGTGTGCATATAGGTGTATATATATATGTGTACATTACATAGGAAAATGTGTATATGTATAGATCGATACATGTATGTACATGCATGCAGGTATATATGAATGGCATGAACAAAGTCCAAGAATACATGAACAAAGCTAACCGCATGAATACACCAACTAACAAACTCAACGAACTTTTTCTTTTTCAAGGGGTACCGTCTGTGTGGGTATTCCACCTGGACTTCGGGGCGTTCCATTTGACACAGCTGCCCCATTTCTTCGACACGGTCACCTACCAAGTCGACCTGACCCGGGCCCATTTTGGCCAGGTGCTCCCGTTTTGCCCCCCAAAAAAATATGTATATATATATATATATATATTTAAAACAATGAGCGCTCGTGGAATTCGCAACTCCCAGGAACCCCCCTGGAACTGAATCTCTGGAACCCTGCCTGAAAGCTGCCAAGCCACCCCAAAGCTTATTTGGGCCTCCCCTTAGCTTTCAGCGGTTGGGGTCTTTTTTGGCCCGGCGCTTTGCCGCGTTTGGGCGGTGGTTTGGGGGGTGGTTTGGGGGTGGTTTGGCGGGTGTTTGGGGGGTGGTTTGTGGGGTGGTTTGGGAGGGGTTGGGGGGCGGTTTGGGGCTGAAGTGGGTCCTTCAGCTCGGACATGCACACCAGCAGCTTCTTCATGTGCTGCTCGATGTGCTGCAAAGACGCGGCACAGCTCGCATCCTCGCGGGGTTGCTTCCGCCGACGAGCGGTCCGGGTTGCCCCAAGCTCGAGCAAAGAAAGGGTTGATCACCTTTGTAGGTTGTGGAAAAGCCAATTGTCGGGGTAGCTCCCCCATTCTTTGCAGGGATCCTTCTTTCTAGAAAACCCTGGTGTTTGAAAAGAAGGATGGCTGAAAAGAATGGAATTGGAATCAACCGCTAGCATTTGTTTGTGTACAACAGCTCAAATTGGGCTCTTGGAGTCACACCGAAGTTTTTTCCCATGTCGCAAACACAATATGCGGTTAAGGAAGACATGATAGTTCAATGACTGATCAAAAGGCAGAGAGAGGAACAAACGCACTCTTTTCTTCACCCAGCTGCACCATCTACGGAACACATGATAGTTCAAAGACTGATTCTTCAACCCTTGTGAAGGCCAAGGTGTCCCCATCCAAAAAGTGAGCCACACCCAACGCAACAAGCAGAAGCGCTTCTGGACACTTCTTCACTTCCCGTCCTGTGGAGCAGCCGGTGCCGGAGTCGCCGCCTTCTTCTCTTCCGCTTTGGGGGGCTGAGGGGTCGCAGAGACGACCGCTGCCTCCTCTTCCAAAGACGCGCCGATGGTCTTGGCCTTAAGCTCGATTTCGCCTCGGGAGGCAAGCCGAGCGTCAGCTCCAACAAAGCTCACTTGACAAGATCACCTTTTGGTACCTTGACTAAAGACGGACCAGGGAAATGAAAAGGTGAAATTTCAGGTCGCTTCGCTGGGGCACTCGTGTCTAAATGAGTCACTAGCTCTTGGGGTCTCCAGCTTGACTTCATCGAAAAAACACAGCCTGGAACCTGTAAGGCCATGTTCCTCTCAAAAGGATCCAGTTTGCTCTAGCCCCTAAGCCCCTAAGCCCTCGCGGATCGGATTCAAACCGAACCTCCCCCTTCCCATTCCCCTGCAAAATTCGGCCCTTGCGACCTTTGTTACCTCTAATTGGTGGTTTGGATTGGTCGCTTGGTGATGTTCCTGAAGGGGTTCTCATCTCCCCTCGACAAGAACCAGGGACCCGTTCAAATCCAACTCCAAACCAATCCAAATCACCAACTACGGGCCAGCTGAGAACTGGGCTCTCCTCAGATCCCCCGGCTAAAAGCCACTAGCTTTTAGTGGGTTACATACGGGAATCCAACCACGAAATAGCTAAAAATATCTAAAAAAGCTAAGGAACTGGATGGCTGGGCTTGCCACCAAGATGAGTCGGCCTGCTCTCAACAAGGCCCCGGCCACCGTCCATCCACCGCACCAGTTTGGCCGCCCCCTCAAAGTCCTGGAAAAGGATGAGAAAAAAAGGCAGCCAGCTGGGTATGCGTCAAATTCCTGGTGCAGCCCCCCCCCCCAAAAAAAAAGGAAGGGCACAAGAACAGGTGTGCTGTTTTATTATTTGGGTTTCCCTTTGAACCAATTTGTCGAAAGGCGACCCTCCAAAAATGTCGCCCCAATTGATCCAACCTGAAGACATCACCACCAAGGGTTGGAGCAATCCACCAGCGGGTCCGAAAAAAGGAGCACGCATCCAGAGGTCGAGGCGAATGACGGTGATTTTCACTGGGATCTGCGAACAGGTGATCGCACCACTAGGGCAACTGCCATGGTTCAAAAGGAAAAATATGACAGTAGCTTGAACAGCCAAGAAGTCCATAATACCATATACCATTTACCATATGCTCCAAACATGTAACAATATATACATATATCTATGCATGTATATGTATATGTATATATATATATATATATTGTAAGTCTCCATATGTGTATATACATATATACATGTGTGTGTGGGTATGTAAACATAAACACACACATACATGGATATAATATATATATATATATATATGCATAATGTACATATGGATCGCGGTGGGCCACGCTTCCGACTTCCGCTCCGTCCGGCTTTCTCTCCGCTCCTCGGGGCGTTTCCAATTCCTGGGGCCGTAGGCCGCCACGTCGCCGTCGTCCTCGATGAGGCGCCTCAGACCGCTCGCTCGGATCCGCTCCGGCGCTCCGCGCGCGCAGCAGGCGGCAGGGTCCGAGCCGCCGGCGCCGTGGGAATCCCGAAAGAGAAACCACCAGGAGGGTTTTTTTTCTTTTTTTTTCTGGGGGTCAGTTCGAAACGCCCTGCCTAGACAAGGGGGGGTAACCTTGGCAAGGGGGTGACGGAAAAAAGCAAGTGGATAAACACAGGAAACGGTTGCCACCTGAAGGAATTGGGGAATTGGTCCTTAGAAACACTTGTAGGTCATGTCTGCAATTTGCATGGGAGCAAAATGAGGAGCATGCCTCAATCATCAGTCATCAGGGAACTGCTGGGATTGATGGGGGCCCTTTTTCCGTCAGAGACGGTTTCCCCGTTCAAAAGAGGCGCCGCAAATACCGCAAAGGAAAAAACACGCGAGGGCGTGTTTTGGGGTTTTGGGGGACGGCCGGCTGGATCGAAATGTTTAAGCCACTGCTTCATCGCCACAACCGCAAGTTGGGCCCTGACAAGCCAATCAACTCTCCAAGGTTGCCGATATTTCACAAATCATCACCTCTACCAAGAAAGACTCGGAAGATAGGGACCCCCCCCCTAGGGTTCAACCCCCATGAAAATAATAAGAAGACCCAAGTTGGATGATGACAATCCTTAGGCAAACCATGGTGGCCATATTGCTGTGTGTCAAAACCCTGTACCCCTAGTGAACATCCCAATCCCCACTAAAATAAGTTCCACAATGGGTGGTGCACCTACCCCAAAATGGTAGCATTGGTTTGACCCACAGCCAGATAAACCCCCATTGTTTCCATTCTTTGTTGACCCCTCTGCAAAAAAGTTTGACTGTTGGTGGGTTGAGCGGCAAACCCCCATTGATTTCAACCAAAAAGTTAAAGTCTAAAGAGCCAACCCAATAGCAGTCAAGTCTAAACCCCGATTGCTTCAATGGTTTGATTCTCAGGGCCTAAACTAAACCTCCCCCCGAAACCCGCTCCCTCCCGCCCTGACCCCCCCGGCCTCCAGGACTTGCGCCCGCTACCCTGGTGGGCAGCGCTGAGGCTCTGCATGCGCGACGCCTGCTTCTGCAGGATCCTCAGTCAGGAAGTTGTCCAGCGGTTGGGCAATTCGCTTTCGCTCGCACGCAAAAAGGAGCCCCAGATGTTCCAGCTATTTAACGTTGACTTCGGATTGATCCGGAGGATTGATCCGGAGGACCGTACGTGGTTTCCTCAGTAAGGAAGTTGTCCAGTTTAGGAGGTTCCTCTGACTAGCGTCCGGATCAATCCGAAGTTAACATTGCAACCCTTGGTATGGCATGCTTCTTGCGGCCTACTCAGCACAGAACACAGGTATCCTTCTTGAAAAACCATGGCCCTGGTAAATGGAACAAAACCCATCTAAACCAGGGGAACCCATCTATTTCTAATCAAGCTAACCTGAAAAGGACGCCTATGAGCTCCCGGAAAAACCAAAAGGAAAGCCGAAGCCGTTTCGGATCAGTGCTGCAACTGCATTTCACTTATCAATATAAAAAAAAAAAAAAAAAAAAAAAAAAAAAACATCAACCCAACATCTTGTTTTAAATGGGACAAAAAGAAAAGAAAGCTGGCGAGATCGCCAGGCCCCCTTGAACTCCCTCGAACTCTCCGGTTCCGAGCTGCGCCCTGGGCCTGTCGAGCCAAAAGCAAAGGGACCTACGTGGGTATGGCAACGTCATGTCTTCAATCCTCGAGCGCTGCGCCTTGGAAAAACGGGCTTTCTTCTTCTTCCGCGGCCGCACCTAAATGAAGCCCAAACCAACGCAACATCCGCCCTGAATAATATTACCGCGCAAGAGTTCGAGGAAGGAGAGGAAGACGTCAGGGAGGTTTCGGATGCTACTCCAGGGAGTCTGGGCTTTGGTGTTCCCAGGTTTCTCCCCCGGTCCGGGAGTGGAAACCGGATTGGCCAATTCGATCCGAAATGGCCAGAAGGTAGGGATCATATCATGCTCGCCTCTGCGTGGTTTTCGTACCGCATTCTCTGAGGGCCACGACTGTGCGTCTTGTTTCGCTTGAGGCAAAAACCAGTCCATTCCGCAAAAAACAATGCCAGGGGGAGGAAATCAAGGACTGCGATCAAACCATTTTGGAGAACCGCACAGAGCAAAACGGAGTTGAAGGCCCCCACATGACTGGGCCCGAAGAAAGAGAACCTGTGGATGGTTGCGAAATCCATTTCGCACCACCTAAGAACGCCTGGAATGCTGACTCCCCTGTAAGTTCTGTAAGTACTCAGAAACGATGGTTTCAACCATGCTTTCAAAGCGCGGCGGAATGGATTTCGTCCATCCACAGTATTCAAAGCCACCTGGATGTTTTCCAAGAAATTCCCTTGACCAACAAGGGAAAAACACGATATCTTCAGGTTTGTTCACGAAAACTGAGATCCGTGCTGCCCCTGAGGGTCTTCATAGTTCTTTTTCCCTCAGAACAGCTTCCTACTTTGGCTTCCACGGACAAATCAAAGCGGCTTCCAAACCCTCCCAGCCAAAAAAAAGAGAAAGAACAAAGAACTCTTTTTTTTAAAAAAAAGCAAGCATTGCCAAGACCACCGCACAAAAGGAAAAACCAAGCAAACAAGACTGCCCCCCCCGTGGTTTTTTGTCGCCAAAAGCGAGCCGCGCGGTGAGCAGGGGGTTCTCCGCATGCGGGCCCTCGCAGGGGCGCTTGATCATCTCCGGTGTGAACTCCCCGGTGCCCTGGCGCCGCTTTCGTTCGATGGAACTCGTCGTTTCCTTGGTTACTTTTTGGGCGTTTAGTGGGAAACACCTCTATTTCCCAAAAAGTTAAAGTCTAAAGATCCAACCCAATAGCAGTCAAGTCATAGATGGCTCTGGTAAATGGAAGGGAACAAAAAACAACAATCTGAATCAGTGGCAAACTGGCAACCCATGGCACCCACCCAAGGACACCCAGGTATCCTTTTGGGAAAATGGATGGCCCTGGCAGATGGGAAAAACCCAATCTGAATCAGTGGAACTCATCAATTTCTAATCAAGCTAACCGATCAAAAGGACGCCTATGGTCGTTTCTCGTCTCGTCTCACTTTTGGCGCTGTGCTAGGTCCTCCAGTAGAGAGGTTAGAAGGGTACCAACCTTTTTTCAGGACGTCTATTTTAGTAGGGGAACCCTCCCCCAAAAAAAGAAACGATAAAAGGGCACTACTTGCGGACCTAGTTCTCATTGTCTCGCTGATGCTCAGTGAGGAATGAGAAATGGAATGACCTCGAGAAAAACCATCCAACTGGTGCTTTCCTTTAAGGGGACCCCCGGGTGCATTCCCACCTGCTGAGCACCAGCAAGTGTCAACAATTGATCAATTTGCTGGCGGTGTCCCGTGGAATTCAGAAGAAATTCGAGCAACCTCTGCATTTGTCGAGTGTCTCCGCCTCCGCCCATTCCAAGCGAGGAGATGATTTGTAACAGGGATGAGCACATCGTGTGGCGGAAAGGCAAGGATTCGAAGGCAACTTCATGGGCTTGGGGAAGTCAAAATTGGAAGCTAGAACCTTGTTTTGGTTGGCAAAGGGGAATCAAAACAGCATGGAGGACCACTATTGTAAGAAGCCCCCACTGTTGAAATCCACCCCAAAAAAGTGGAAGGTGGTTTGGATTGGTTTGGATTGTCTATGGGCCAACTGGGCGCATCCTAAAATAGGCCCCCCCGTTCTCGTAAACAATGGAAAATGAAGAAAAGTAATTCGACTCCCTATTGGTTTCAAGTTGTTCCATGGAAGTCTGTCTGTTTACCTTCTTGAAGCCTTGGGGGGGGTGACTTTGATCATGGTAAGATCATAATGTTGACCCATGATTAATAAACCCGTCCCACTATTACGGGGGTGTTCCCTCCAAAAGTGATGAATCCCCACTCCCCCCTATTAATCAACCAGGGGTTTATTAATCCGGGGTTAACATTAGTGGCCAGTGCCTGAGGATCTCCCTGCAAAACGGGAACAACGCAGCCAACTTCCGCGCTGGCGGTGCCTTCTGCAGGCTCTCCACGGGGTCATAGCGGTCCGCCATCACGAGCATGGCCACCTAAATTCACGAGAGATGGCAGGCCATGGGTCCAAATCCAAATCGTCCCAGTGAACATCCCAATCCCACCACTAAAATACCTTCTAACATGGGTGGTGAATTCACCTACCCCAAAATGGGATCCCATTGATTTTGACCCACAGCCACATGGGCGTGGCCACAATCCGCCATTCCGAACTCAAAAAAAAAGTATAGCTACCATGTAGCTGAGAGATGCACTTGGCCCTGGGTCAGTTCGAAGACAAGAGCCCATGAAAATGAGTTGCCCAAAAGACACATAGATATATGCTTAACCTTTTGGTGCCAGTACTAAAATTGACAATCAGGGAAACCAAAGGTTGGTCAATTCGCTTTGGGCGCCCGTACGCAACAAGGAGCGCCATATGTTCCAGCTATTTAATGTCCGAAGCTAACAGTACAACCCTTGGTATGGAATGCTTCTTGCGGCCCCCTACTCAAAATGCATAGAACCAAAAAAAACTAAGCACATGAAGAAGAACCGTAAAGTGACCATGTCCTTAAGCCACTTATCGCTTATTCTGAAAAACATATTATTATTTTTGTTTACCAAGTTCTCAGCCCTGTGTTGCCAGAAAACACCGCGTAACACACAGTGTTGTGTAGCATGTTTCATGTTAAAACACATCCCCACCAACACCCGGTCTCAAAAAAAACAGCGGCTTTCCTTTGCCCGTCTCGTGTAAAAGGGGTACCCTAAAAACGGCACTCCCAAATCGAACCACGAACAGAAGTCCAGTTCTTATAGAGAGAGAGAGAGAGAGAGAGAGAGCCATGGAGACACGGATGAAGCAAGCTCTTTGGTGGGCATCGTGCATCATTCAATGTTCCAGCCATTTGTAGCCGCATTGAAACCCAAACAAGTGAGTACTAGATGTGGTTCTCTTCTTTTTCATTGAGCGGGTATGTTTCAAAGGGATCCCCAAAACCTTCTAATTTTAAAGGCCGCTAAAGAGAAACACCCAAAAAAATCCACGAAGAACATGAGCCATCCAGCTATGGCTCATGCACAAATTGGGTGCTTTCGAGTCCCCGCCCTTGGCTCAAAGGAAGTTTGCGCTGATCCCGAGGCTCCTCTTTTTGACAAACCCCTTTGAGGCGGACCCAGCGGTTCTGCACAAGACCCGATCCAGAAAGGGAGGCTCCGCATTTTTGTTGGGTCGACTCGCAACTTTAGACCGCGCTCACGATGGGACTTCCCGGTTTCGAGCCGCCACGTTGTCGTAGATGTGGCGCATAAAGTCCTCAGAGCTCACAGGTCGCCCTCCAACCGCTTCTTACTACGACTCTTGGATACTGTTGGTTCTACTCGAGTGGCTATGAATGGAGAAATCTATACAAAAACCTCACTCATAAAACCAGGTAGAACCACCAAACAAATTGAGCTTGGGCGCTCGCCTGAAGCCGGGAACCAAAAGCTTTGAACACTTTGTTCGGTTGGCTTAGTGGCGACGTGCGCAAATTATCCATGTGCCCATGGCGACTTGGGGCCGGTTTTTTTTTGCCGCCTTGATCTACGGGCACCTTTGCGCTTGGGGCTCCCCGGCTTTAAAGGATGGCTCAAAAAAGTCCGGCTTTAGAGGGGGGCCACAAACTTCCGGGAGCCGAAAAGAACTTTTTTACAAAAGGGTCACTCGTTAAATGGAAAAACATGGACTGGAATTGGTCCATATCCTGGTGACCAACTTTGACACATTCCCAAATCCTGGCTTTCCTGTTTTCCATTTGATCCTAAGGACTTCCCCCGAAGCCGCATTCAATCCTGGAAGGAGCCCCATCGCATTTCGCATATCCTTCGCCAAGGCTCGGCGATGGGGAAGTCCAAATCATCCTAAGCGAGCACATCGGTGTTTACCTTCGGGCCCACTTCATTCATGTCCGTCTCATGTTTGATGAATCCAAGAAGAATGGAAGACAGGCTTCCAATCGATTTTTTCTAAGATAGACGGTTTTCTCCAGTAATGTGTTCTCCATTTGGGGGAAAGGAACCGTCAACAAAAAGTAATGGGAGAAGCTTGTGAAACATGGCTCGCCTCCAACCCGAAACCCGGATAAGTTTGGCTTCAGACCAAAGCTGCGTGGTCACTCTGCCACTTCACAATTCTGTGCTTGAAAGCGGCAGGTGAGCGGGTGTTTTGATTACAGGGAAGCCACAATGAAACCCAGCTATTGTAACATCTGGTCAAGCTGGCGCAACTGGTGCAACTGGTGCATCGATGCTTGTGGGGAAACAATACTACCAAAGGAGCCTCACCTTCAGGAGCCCACAAGGTGACGTTCCACACCACCAAGATGAAAAGAGGACTGAACTGCCTTCGAAATATCTAAGCAAATGCATATGGTACAAGATTACGGTATGCCCCATGCGCTGTGCCCTATTTGATGCCCTGCTTTCCCCAGTAGGGAATCCATAGGCTCATACCAAGCGAATCTACGCAAGCGAACAATTCCACCCAGAACCTTCGAGGATGGTCTCCCGCTTTCGTGCTTTGGGCTTGTCTTTAGGAATCGGACCCCCTAAAATGGCTTCGGTTTTGGCTTGGGCTCCCTTTAATTTAAAGCCGCCAACAAAAAAGAGGTACCAACTCCAAAAAACGGACACATCCGTTTGGATGACTTCCTGAACCTTCTACCCCCTTCTGCAGAGAACACACACACACACACACACACCTCGACAAAGCCCGAAAATAACAGAGCGGTTTCCTGCTTCCGATAAAAAGCCCCCCAAACCATGTACAACATGCATGTGGCCTCCTCGATTTTATACCTTTTTTCGCTCAGAGGCCTCGTCAGAATCCGCCGCCCCGCTTCGCCCCGTTTGGGGGGGTGGACGAGGACCCGCCTCGTAGCGAGCCCTGCCCATAGGTGTCCTTTTTGGTTGAACCACCAGGTAAACCAGGAATCGTCCTCTATTTTTGAACCAATGGTTGAACCACCAGGCAACCAACCAAACCAACCAAAAAAGGACGCCTATGTTGCTTTCTGCTCCCCTGCTAAAAGTTTAACTTTTAGTGGTTTAATACGGAAAACCCCTTAGATGCATCAAAAAGTGAGAAAGTCCAAACATCCCTTGGCAAAATGCACCAATTTCAATGAGACCCACCAGCTATGGACCCCTCGGTGCCTTGGCCCTGCCCAAACCTCCGAGGCTCTGTTCCGAAGGGATCCGCCAGCTCGCCGGACAGCTGGCGTAGGGCGAGCAGCACGAAGGTGACCACGGCGTACCTGCGAGACGTCGAGTTAGATGTCGAGCCGCTGAAAAATGGCCACCCATGGCTCGAGGTTTTTTTTTTCTTCATTTTTTTCAACCATCGTTCTTTCCAAAAACCGGATCCGTTTTTTTTTGGGTGTCCAAGAAAGGGGATACAAAGTCCACGTGGGTTTCAACCCACGTCACCCAGCTAAGGACGCCTAGAAGGGCAAAGCCCAGCTAAACCAGGTTTGGGGCGCACCTGAGAAATCGAGTTAGACGTCGAGCCGCTGGCAAACTGGCAACCCATGGCACCCACCCAAGGACACCCAGGTATCCTTTTGGGAAAATGGATGGCCCTGGTAGATGGGAAAAAAGCCAATCTAAACCAGTGGAACCCATCTATTTCTATTCAAGCTAACCTGAGAAGGACGCCTATTCCTAGAAGGGTTTTTGCAGGGAACCGCCGAGTTTAACTAGGTCTTTCGCAGGGTCTGGAGGGGAGAGTGCTCCGGGGACTCTGCAGCTGTCCGTTTTCTACCCCAAAATGACACACTTTTAATGGACTCAACCACTAAACCAACTAAAAACCTAAGACTGCCACTATTGGAGGCTCCAAGAGATGTGGGGGGGGATACCTGGGTGTTCGACCAGCGAAGAAAGCAGGTTAGTTCCCATGGTCATAAGTGGGGACACTGGGGCGGGTTCAAAGCAATATATTCCTGTTTAATATGCTTGGGTTTAGAGGGTTTGGGGCAGCCGTGTCCGGCACAAATGCCCATGTTTCACCCATTGACCTTTGGCTCTATGGTGCTTAAACTGAAACTGGAGGGTTGTGAGCGGTTTGGGGGTGTCCGTTGTTTCTTTTGAGGGAAGCCGAAAGGATACCAACCATGTTGAAGGTTCCAAGTTGGTTCTCCAAATTAGGGAAGGTTGGCTCTTCTCTTGGCCCCCGAAACGCATCAAAGCAAAACACGAGCACTTGGGCGTTCCTGGCCAAGTTAATAAGAAGTGGGTCACCCCATTCGGTTAGACTCCACGGTGAAATCCTCCAAAGTAGGGTTAACCTTGCCATTGGGTGGCCACCAACTGATGGTTGCCTGACTTATCATCTAAAAAAGCCGCCAAATTGGCGCCTCTGGTTCGGAGTTTGTCACCTTGGTGTAAAAGGAAAACCAACTAAAACCACCCATTGTAGGCCCCCCCTTATTGGCCGCAACCCCCCTTTTTGGCCCCTTTAAAACGACCAAACAGGGCTTCCCTTGAAGAAAAAACAGAAACCCATATTCAAGGGCTGGACTAGTGGGGAGCGATAAAGGGCACGCCCACAGGTGTCCTTTTTGGAAACATAGATGTCGCTGGCAAATGATTGAACCACCAAGTAAACCAGGGCCTTCTATCTTTTAATTTAAGCACAACCACCAACAGCGACGCCCTTTCCCCGCGCAAGCGCAGGCACTTGCAGAATGCCGAGCGGCGGGAAGAAGGCCAAGCAGTAGGAGGGGGCGTCATACTGCTCCACCAGGATCAAGCTGCCAATGCCTCGCCAAGTCGAAAAACCTGTCCCGTCAGATCAACTCGCATGGCTGTGGGTCAAAATCCCGTACCCTCAGAGAACATCCCAATCCCCACTAAAAAAAACTAAAGCGGGTGGTGCACCTATCCCAGAATGGTACCATTGGTGTTGACATGGGTGTTTCTCAACATGGTGTGGGTTACTTGGGCTTCCCTTAAACAAACCACCAACAAGTCCGCCATTCTCAGAAACCCCACCCAAAATCACGCATCTTCGCTGAGACTGCCTTTTTCTCCATCGCGCAGCGAGAAAAATCACGACATCGACCCGGTGACTCGCTTTGTTCCGGCCTGTGGCGAGGACGGTGAAGGAGATGAGGATGTTGAGCAAGTGAAAGTAGGAGAAGGGCACGGGCATGTTCTGAATGCTCCTTTCGGCTTCGTTGCTGCTGACCCCTCTGCAAAAAAAATGGAGAAAAGTTGTTTTTCACTTTTTGTGGGCTTAGTGGAAAACCCCAATGTCAACCAAAAAGTTTAAGTCTAAAGATCCAACCCAATAGCAGTCAAGTTTCGACAGTGGAGTTGGCAACCTCTCTTTATTCACAGGAACGTAAAAACCGAAGGCTCGAGCAAAAGCAGTTGAACAGAAAATAGAAAGGTGAAAAATAATTCCCCAAGCTGATCATGTAAAGACCCAACAAGAAAAACCAGCCAAAACGTTTAATTTTAAAAAAAAAAACTGAACTGGTAACTGGATGGCAGGGGTTCGGGTGGGTTTTTTGGTGAAGAAACAGCACTCACCCACTCCGCAGCCCTCATCTTTTTCGGGAACCCCCAACAGGTCCAGAAGGGGACGCCATGGGGGCTGTGCTTTCTGCAGGGTAATAATAATAAATAGGGAAAAACACAAAACCCAAATCAACCATTAAATCGAGAAAAAAAGAAGGGACAAAAAGCAAAGAGCCTCGTGCTAAATTCTAAAAAAAGAAGAAGAGAGAAACACCAACAAAAGCAAAAACCAAGATTGCAGACCCCAACAGGGTGGACCCAAGGGGGTAGGGTCTGCAATCTGCTTTCTTTTGTTTGGTTTTCTCGAGGTTTTTTGCGGTTTCAGCCTGAAGTGCCAAAAACCTCCACAAAACCTGTCGAAAATCATCATGACACTCTTGATGTCATTGGCGCATCTTGACACATAAATCTAAATGTTCTTCAGCATCGAGATTTCAAAGCGTGTCAGGAACTATCCATCTACTTCTGCTGCTTGTCTGCAACTCAGCATGATGACTTCTGAAGTCTGCTTTCTGCTTTCATGTATACACGATATCTGTATAATCTGAAGAACAAAAACTATACTTGAAACTATATACACGAGGCACTTTACCTGCAAAAACACCTTCGCCAATTCTCAGGTTTCATTCGGTTTGCGCCATGCGGATCTCGTCCGCAGCTTTTTTTGCCACCTTCATGGCCTTGACACCCTGGAACAAAACACCAACGAACCCCACCGTTCCGCTTTTGTTGGCGACTCGCTGGACTTCAAGATCAAACGTTCCCAGACCAATGGCCACGCGGTTTCGAAGTCCGATGTTTCAAACTGGAGGATTCTCATGACCATATCACTTCAAAGGGTTTCGCCTCACCTAAAGAAGCCCAACGGAATGATTCGACCCCCTGTTAAATACCAACAAAAGTTATGGTTTCAACCATGGTTTCTTAAGTGGCGCGAGAAGCAGATTTCCTCCATCCACAGCATCATTTAAGGCATTCCTTTGGCCACCCATGACCTTGATAGAGGGGGGTCTGTTTAAAGGTAACCCCCTTTTGGTGGGGTTTTCAAGGGGATTCCAAAAAGACAACCACCATTTTGGAGATGTCCCCCAAAACATGGCACACTTATATCGCTTAGAAAAGATCCCTTCAGGGAACCCAAAAAGAAAAAAAGAAAGGCACAACCATGTCACTTCGGAAAACTCCCTTCACTCCCACATAACTCAAACAAAATATCCCTGCACTTTTTTAGATCGCGCGAGACGTCGGCGCTCGTTTCGCGCTCGCTAGGTCCTGACGGTCAGGGAGCAGGCCCCGATGCGGTCAATGATGCCGTACATCCGCGAGGAGATGCCCGAGAGCTCCGGCGGCGTGTAGGGCTTGCCCCGGGCCTCGTCGGGATCGGTGGGGTGGAGGGTCAAAAATGGTCGGGTCTTGATGTTGGCTAGGCTTTTCCAGATTTGAGAGGTTAGAATAAGGGTAGTCTTTCTTTGTTCGGTAGTCCATTTTAGTAGGGGAACCCGGCCCCAAAAAAGGGTAAAAGGGCACTACTGGGGGACCTAGTTGGTTTCTGAGGGCTCAAATGCACTCTAGGTTGAGGCTACCCGTTCTGCGCTGGTAGTGAGGGCAACCGAAAGGATACTAATTAACCATGTTGCCGGTCCAAGTTGGGGCCCCAAAAAGGCATCAAACCAAAAAAGGTACCTGGGTGTTCTGCCGGACGGGTTAGTCAGTTGTCAGAGAACAGAAGGTGGTAAGAGGCGCAATGGGAGACCGCCTTTGAACCGTAAAGAAGGCCCAAGAAAAAGATGCTCCAGTTTACCCCTCTTTCATCTAGGTCCGCGTTAGAATAAGGGTACCCTTTTTCTGTAGTCTATTTTAGTAGGGGAACCCTCCCCCAAAAAAAGGATTAAAGGGCACCTAGCTGGGGGACCTAGAAAAGACACACCGAATTGTTGCTCCTCAGAAGTAACAGTGAGTAACTCACAACTGTAAATACAATGGGGCGAACCCCAGTTACCCCAGCCACCATGGTTGTAGCTGACGTTGGTTGAACATCCAAGTATAGGCACTTTAGAAACTGCCCGACTTTCTGGTTTCGCAAAGGTTGTAGTAAGGTCTATCTGGGTGTGTGTCGAAAAAGTGGAAAACTGGTGACCCCTCTCAAAGCAAGGCTTTCCCTTGGTCCGGACCCCATTGAAAAGGTACCCTCAAAAAAAGACACATCCACTAGATCCTCCAGTAGAAAGGTTACAATAAGGGTACCCTTTTTTTTTGGTAGCCTATTTTAGTAGGGGAGCCCTCCCAACCAAAAGAAACGGTCAAAGGGCACCTAGCTGGGGGACTCCCCTCATCCAGGTAAACCTCTATGACCATCATCTCCCCCGTCTCACGTGCTTCCGGCCGGCCCGGAGCTGTGATACCGCATCCTTCACCACGGCACTGCACCAGTGCAGCAACAGGTTCGACCTCACACAACGTGACGCACCCTCGAACCACCCGGTCGTGCCACTCATGGTTGTCCGGAGGGCGAACCAATGATTGTTGTTTTTTTTCTCCGCTGGGTTTTAAAGGCAACCAAAAGGAAGCACAAATGGTAGATGGTGGCGCCTTCTTTTGGGGCAACTTTCGTTTGGCTGATTTCAACTGCAAAGGCCCCTTTGCGCATGACGCACCGGTCGTTCAAGCCAGCCGAACCACTATTCTCAGGGCTTGAATGGGATATACAGCCACACATAGTCACTAAAGACAGTGTATATAACGCAAATTCCCCTGAGGGTGATGGTTTGGGGGTAGTGGACACTATTCTAGGGGAAGCTTCCCCATTCTTTCCAGGGATCCTTCTTTTCAGGAAGGCATCAAAATCCCAGACGAAACAGCGATATGTTTTTTGAAAAGAAACAGACTGGTTGGAAGAAACTTCTAGGACATACACACCACATACAGTATATACACCCCAATTTTCCCTTGGGTGGTGGTGGTTTGGGGGTAGTGGACACGATCCTAGACCCAACAAACCCTTTTCAGCCAAACAAAAATTACCAAAACAATCAGAAAAAAATCGCTCGCTCGCCCAAACCGCTGAGGCCATGGACGTCGTGCCAGGGAAGCTCCGGATAGAGTTGACCTCCGCCTCTGTGAGCAAACCTTTCTCCTGAATCACCGACCACGTCGTCATCCTCAGAACTCACAACTTCCCCTTCAGCTGCAGTTTACTGGTGGGATCCTTACACAGGTTTTCACTCTGAGCTGTTCAAAATGGCTTGCGTTGGCCAATCCGATTTTCCATCATCCCAGGCAAGCCACTACAAAGGGGACCGGTTCCTTGCGTAACCCAAGGTAAGGATCTTGCGGATTACCTTTGAACAGCCCAGTCACTAGACTTCCCCTTCAAAATCGCCACTACTAGAGATCCCAAGAAAGGCAATTAAGAAGTCCCAATTTCATCGGCCGGGAAGCCACGCCCATTCTGCTATCGGGGATGCAAAGATACAGTTCGTGTGCAAGAAGAACAGTGATTGCGGGCCAAAACCAGTGCCAGCAGAAAGCCTTTAAAAATGAACGCGCGGACCGAAAACAAGCAAAGCCGCAAGATGCTCCTCTGCAGTATCTTCTGGCCAGGGGGCAAGTGGCGATCGTCTTCCATGGACAAGTAGAAAAAGAAGATGGCGGCCAAGCTGAACCTTGCAATGCTCTGCAAATCAAGATGGAACCCGGAAAAATTGCTCCCAAAGAAAACACGGATTAATCTGAACGAACTTGTGACCTCAACATCGCCATGGCTTCTTTGCAGGCCATCAGCAGATTTCAATGCCGTTAAGCCTGCATGCTGGCCATCCACATCGGCCTCAATTGAAAGACCTTCATGAGTCTTTTCCCTGTGGGGGGGGGGGGGTGGTCCAGATTCACTAGAGCTCAAGGTGCAAACTAAGGAGCCCTGAAAAAGTGACAACTCCAGTCACGGATTACCAGAATGTGGACCGCAGGTTTCAGTCATTGGTTCCATTTACCAATTGGGCAACGCACTTTGGCCCTCTTAATTAACCACCCTCCTAAAAGAAAAGACAATCCCAAACTTGGTTGCTGCTGACCGCTCTGCAAAAGGTTTAACTTTTTGTGGGTTCAATGGAAAACCCTTGACTTCCCAGAAAGTTAAAGTCTAAAGATCCAACCCAATAGCGATCACTTCCATTTGCTTAAGCCCCGTGGGAAAAATCCAGTAGTGAAATCGATTCCCTTTAAAAACAACAAGGGAAAAAATAAGAAAAATACTCATTACTCATTCAAGCCGCACAACATGATGTCTGCCGGGAGGCTTTGCTGCCTGCCTCACGTGATTGCGCAGGGTGGGGTCGTAGCCGAAGTTGATGAGGAGCTCCGAGACGAACTCTTTCTCGTTCACGTCGATATCCTCCATTTGCGCTCCCCACCCCTCTCTTGTTCTCAAGGTTTTCTTTGTTTTCTCTCTCTCGTATTTGTTTGCGCTCTCATCCACTCTTTCGCTCTTTTTCAGTGCTTTTCTTTTTTCTTTGTTTTTTTTGGAGGGGGGAGGAAACAAGCGGGGTTATATGACAAGGGGGCTTAGGATACATGTCTCAAAATTGGATGGGTTCCGGAAATTCCCGGTGTATGGCTTCCCTTAGCCCCAAAAAGAGATCCCGACTCAAAGGATACACCTAAAATCACCGGGGACATGCACAAACCATGCAAAACCAAAGGAACCAATGTTAAAGTTTCCCAGCTAATTTGGAGGATGCAGCTGGGACATGCAGAAACCATGCAGAAACCATGCCAAGCCAAGTGGATCCTTTCAGGAAACATGTTAGCTAATTTGGAGGATCCCCTTAAGCAGGTTCTCCGTTCTTGTAGTCGATGTCGCAGGGTACCCAACGCTGCTTCGTCTTCAAGGTGGTGTTGAAGGGAAAGCCAAAGGGAAACCAACCAATTAGAAAGGTCCTCTTCACAGCATAAAAACGCAAAGGGCCCAAATCCACTTCATCTGGGTCAGGGTAAAGATCAACCAACGTGGGCAGTTCTTCTTCTTAATGTCAACGGATGGTCTGCTTTAAGCTTTGCGCTTCACAAGCCGCTAACATGCTCGAGCCAACAGATTGAACACAAGAATTCGCAAACACCTTTTGTACTACTCGATGTTGATTCAAGGGAGGCCCGCCCGCCAACAAAAACAAAAATATGCTTGAGACATTCCCAACCCTTTAAAAGAACCGGAAAGGGCTCGCAAAGCACGTGTCCGGGCAAAGATCCAAGCCCATTTTGGGGGGGCCCTGAACAGAGGGGATTTCGAAAGGCCAGAAGCTCAGTCAAGCCAGCCACGCAGACATGCTTGCAGGACACTTGTGCCCTTTTTTGGCCGTTTTGAGGGGCCCTCTGCCTTTCCATTTTTGTGCGACCCGTTGTGCTTGGCCTGCACGGAGAACCCAAACCAACATCCACACTTCCGGGGGTCCGATGCCCCTTTCTCAGACCTGGGCATCCCAATCCGACTGCCTCACTCCGCCTGGGGTTTCTGGGACCCCGGCCACGCAGGTGCTGTATAAGCCTTAGGCCCGAAGAGGCCCCTGGTGAATAGGCGTCGCTTTTTTTTGGGGGGGGGAATCCGCTTTTGCAGCTTCACTCTAAAATTTTGGGGTGGTTTGGTTGGGTGGCTTGGAGGTCAAGGGGTGGGTTTCCCTCTGGTGATTTGAAACGGTTTCAGTTTTTCAGCTGCCCTCTGCAACGGGTGATTTGGCTTCTTGGCTTGGAGGTTCAAAAGGAGGGCTGCAAGTCCACATCCAAGCCTCCGATCCACAGTTTCACAGCGGCCTGACAACACAAAACGAACCCAAGCATCTTGAGGACGCAAGCCCATATTCAATATTAATTCTGTCCCAAGTGGCCGTTCACTTGGCGTCAATAGACAGGGTTTATCAGGGTTTCCTGGCCTTTCCCTTTTTGGAACCTCCAAAAGTGGCAGCTTCAAGGGAAACAACCGGCACATTGCAACTTTTGAAGGGGGCATCCAGTGACGCCTGATAGAATGACGGAACATATTGACCCTTCATGTACTTCCGCGATGGACCCACTCCAGGAAAGTCTTCCGGCTGAAAGCCTGCGAGCTTGCCAGAGAATCAATCCCCCCTACCGAACCTGGGGTGTGGGGTCCCCAATTCCAGTTCTCTAGCCTTCCCCTTACCAAGGCAATGGAACCATGCATGGAGATCTCCAAAATTCACCCCCCTCCGCCAGTTCCATATTTTAGGGGGCGGGGATGAGATTGCTGCGCCTTCAGGGGAGGATCTTCCATGTGGACCTCCAGCCAGAAAACCACCTCGCTTGGAGCGTCGATCGAGCCTCAAGAGTGAGCCCCTCTGGGCCTAAGCCGAGCTTTTGTCCAAGCCGCTCATGTAGCGGGAGTAGCACTGGTTGTTGTAGAACACCACTGCCTGCGAATGCTTTGGATTGGTGGTTTTGGTTCCTCTCTCTCTCCCTCTCTCTCTACCAAGTTGTTCTACCAAGATGGTTATACCCAACTGGTGCAACACAAATAAGGTAAACCCTTTGGTGGTTTGGATTGGTTTGGTTTTGGATTTGAACCCCTTGTGGAACATGGGGAGTCTCCTACCCCCCGTTTCCACCTTGAAACCATGCCAAGATCGCCAGGTCTGGTCAGCTGCTCTCCCAATTTGGTGGGAACAGGCCAACCCACGTGGGCATGTGGCACCAAGGGCCCAACCAAATTTCTACGGGTACCTTCCCCATTCTTTCCATCGACCCTTTTTTAGAAAACCTCCAGAAACCCAGGGGAAACGCCTGGTTTTGGAAAATATAGAACAGGTTAAACAACCGGGAAGGGTCACAAATGAACCCTGTACTCAGCGCGCTTTTTCCTTGAGCCATACGCAGTCGTAATGATGAGACTGCGCAAGTGAGACATTCATGCATTGGGGTTTTACATGGTTGATAAATACATCACGTTACAAACTACACCCCCCGTGCCCGAATGTGAAACAGGAGGACAAATGAAAGGGATGAAACAACCAAAGAAACCCGATCGGCATGAAGTCCTTTTGCAGTACACAAGCACTTGGATTCGAGCAACCGGCAGTTAAGGTCTTCCGCCTGCACTGACCGTCGCTCTCGCGAGGCGTGCTCATGCACTGTACATTGATCCTCGGCCAACATGGATTGAGAAGTATAATGAATATTGAAGTTGAAATGTAAATGGATGTCAGCCGAAGATTGAAAAGATTGTTGAAGAGATCGCTCATTCATCGCCAATCCCAATTGCGGGAGCTCTTCCACGGGCGCTGATCATCAGACCACCACGAGTCCCAGGACTGGCCCCAGCTTCCCCAGTACGACTGGCTCCATTGACGATCTTGCCATTGGCCACCGGTCTCCCGGAGCTGCGGAATGGGCTTGCGCGTCACACCGACAACTGCAGGGAGCGGGGTGGCTCGTCCAGGGATTTCGATGCCGGGGATCTCCTCTTCGACGAAGCAAAGCAACTCAACCAATACCATTTCGGGGTCTCCCACAGACGAGAAATCCCGGGTCCAGCCCATCACGGGGTAGCGGTTGCTCTTGTCAAGGCTTCCATACAATGCAGCAAATTGTTCTGGTTCCAGAAATCTGCCACCATGCACCACATACACGTCCTTCGGATCAACCTCCTGCACGTCCTCTGTTGGCGGCACCAGCGTTAGCCGTGCGTGATATTTCGGCACAGCAACGCTTCCTTGGATCATTTCCTTTGTTCTCCCGAAACTCGGAATAATGCATCGTGCCACCTTCTCGATAAACTCGAGGGCGGACGGCGTCAGGTCTCCCCGCGCGGCAGTGTAGGCGTAGAAGGGGTCATTGATCAGCCTCTCGTACAACGTGGTGTACTCCTTGTTGCGAAGAACTGCTTTCTTGGCGATGTCCTTCATGATCCCGAGGCCCCCTCTTGCGCTTCGATCCCCTCGCGCATCCTTCCGCTGCGTCAAGATCTGAGTCTCAACCTGGTCCATGGAAAGCGGCACGCCCAAGCTGTTGGCCATCTCCTGCAAACGAACGACCCTGGCTATTTTCTTGATATCGGGCATGCGCTCCATGAGACGGTCACACTGGAAACAGTTGATGGTGCCGACCGGGATGAGGATTTTGCAGCGCGGGCACTCAACGTCGGGGATGTGCATGACCTCCGCGAAGCGCCAGTTGGTCGACTTCTGCTTGTTGGGATCCAGGTCCTGCCACAAACCACTCCGGCCTCGGGTTTCCCCGGGCTGCTGCTTCACAGCTCGGGCCCAGTTTCTGTAGAGGCCATAGCGGGCGGTCTTGAATTCAAGCGCGACCTGCTCTTCTTTCGGGAGGTTCTCGTCGTAAACGTCCCTGACCTTCGTCACATTGCCAATGCGGTGGGGCCGCGTCATGTCGCGGCACGCTGTCGGGGCCCACTGTTTGTAATAGAGCTTACACTCCTTCTCGGCCTTCGCCATGAACGATTCCAGCACTGGGGTCCCGACAACGCCCTTCTGGGTCTCTTCCCGATACTTCTTGATGCTGTCCTGGTAATTCCGTCTGACACTGACATACATCCGGTTTGACCAGATAAACTTCGCACATTCAGCGTCATAGGCGTAAATGAGGACCTTGTTCGTGATCCAATCCTCCGTTACCAGGGCTTCCCCGTCTCCGGGTGCGTACAGCCGACATCCCAATTGGATCAACATCTCCACATCGACGGCGATGTTGATGGGTCGGTCAGCACGCGCACCCCCCGCCTTCCGGCCATGCCTGTCCCAAGGAGGCACTACCGTTAGGTAGGCGTGACCACGCGAGGATTGCCGGTCTCCCATTCCGCCCGGAAAGATGCCCATGTAGATGATGTCAAAGAAATTCTGCATGTTGCACGTGTGGTAGGCGATTTTGGGCAGCGCCTTTCGGCGTGCGTCCGAGAAATCTTTGCAGAAGCCCGGTCGCACACCCTTCTTTGCGTGCTCAATGGTGTAATTGACATCCATTGCAATGGGATCTCCAGGAATATTGTCAAAGCCGCTGGCCTCGGTCACCCAATCGTTGTGGCCGGCGAACGCGCGAATGCGTAGCGGCATGAAACTGAGCCCGTTCCATTGCTGCCCGGCCGGCGCGTACTCGACATAGACCTCGAACCGATTCGATGTGGGCGTGGCCTGAAGAAGAGTGTATTGGGTGCAGCTCCAGTCATATCGTCGTTGGATCCATTTGGCGACGGCTGCATAGTCGAAGGAGTTGTCCTTGAGATTGATCTCAGGGATGGATCGCGTCGCATGTTCGTGGGCATGTCCTCGAACCAAATACGACACCTTCTTGCTCAAGAACGTCCTTCTGCCATAGTTCTGGGTCTGGGGAATCTTGATTCCTGAGCACTTGATCCACTCCCTCTTGGGTTCAGCAGCCTGGCCACGGGTCTCCCCGGGCTTTCCAGCAGCTTTGGAAACTGCCTTCGCCTTGGGGATGATCTCCGGGCCACGGATCTCTCCGGGCTGAGTCTTGCTGGTCCCAGCCACGGACGCCTGATCACTGGATGAGGCAGCCTGCATTGGCATTGCCTTTGATTTCACCTTTGGTGTCGCAGCACTGAGAGCTGCAGTCATTTTGTTATGACTTTTCCGCTTGGAAGTGAGGATGAGCTTGATTTGGCCGTCCTCACCAATGTCATTCGGATCCACTGCGGCAACCTCAACGGCCTGGCCTTTCGGCTGACCTTAGGCTGAGAGCCAGGGGGCAGGTCGAAGCTGATCAGATCCTCCTCATCCGAAGAAGAAGACCAATCGATCACATCGTTGAGGCCGCTGACGGTCGCCGCGTGAATGTCGGGTTGCATCATCTGTAAGATCTTTTCCTCCTTGACGGTGTCAAGGGGGTAGAGGGGGTTTGCCTCCTTTTCAGTCTCCAGGAAAATCTCGCGCTTCGGCTCTTGCGCGGCGATTTCATTGATCGCCTCCAACTCCCTCTCACGGACCTCATTGTCGAAAGGGTCCTCAGGGTTCTTTGCAATTGCCGGACCGCCAGTTTCCTGGGGTGTAGCGCCAACGATCGGGATGGATGTGTCAATGTTCATGTATTCCCTTTCGAGGCGGTACCAATTCATCGCCATCTCAAAGCGGTTGATTTGGCCAATGCAGTACCCGAGCTTGGCAGCAGCTACAAAATAACTAATGTAGTGCTTTCTGTTCCGCTCGTTGTCATCGGTGTGAATGCGGTCAGCTCGAGACGTGTTGGATATGAGAGTCTGGGGGTCGAGGACGGTGATGCCTGCGGAACCATGCAACAAACGAGCATGCCCGTCCATCTGAGTTTTGTAAGATTCACTCAGTCCGTACGTCTCATAGTCTCTCGGTACGATGAGGACGACCTGGACGACATCTTCCCGGAAAGCAATATGGCGAAGTCGATCACGGACAGTCATCACCGCTCGGGCGTTCCTTTCGATGATGTCCATCGCCGCCTTCCGCTTTGCCTCGGAATCAGTGGCCCAGCCCGCTAGGGCGGCGGGGTTGTCGATGTAACCATTTCGACCGACAACGTCATTCCCGGACCACGAGATAACGATGACATACGGCCGGGGCTCAGGCCTTTCGGCGAGCTTGAGCATTGCCCGCTCAGCAGCGTCGAGAGACTCTGCTAGTCCTTTGCCCCATGTCATTTCGGACCAGACCTCGTGCTTGTGCCCAAAGAGCGTCCGCTTATTCTCCTTGATGATGGTGCCAACATCTGTCTTTGCTCCATCTTTGACCAACGCATTGAAGGAGTCGCCGAAAAACACATAGTTGACCGCGGGTTTCCCCGGGCAGAAGAGGATATCGAAAGCCTCAATCGGAGCCTCTTTGAGAATTCCCGCAGTACCTGTCAATGATGACATGGCGTTCTTGGCGAGAGCCAGCGCATCGGTACGTTCACTCATCTTGGCAAGGTCGACACCGGAGTTCACGTCCTTGACGATGAATGATTGAGTTGCCGCATCACGGAACATGTCTGACCAAGCCTCTCGGTTGGCGACGCGCAGCTCGTCGGGGATGACCTCGGCCTTCACCTTCCCATCGTGCAGGATGTAGTCCGAGCCGTAGTCAACTCGAGCAAGCGGCACATCTTTGTAGTGCCTCTCGGAGAATGCCGAGCGTACCGTCTTCAAGGCCTTCTCCACGGGCAGTGCTTCAGCCATGGTCGCAACTAGTATCCGTGTTTGGACAACCTTTTCTTGAACCGACACTGCATAAGCAAAAGCCTTGTGAATCAAGTCAGTCATGATGTACGTATAGGATTCAGTATTCTTGAGATTCCGTCCCCTACCTTCAGCATGTTGGACAGTGCAAGAACACACTCTTCCATCAAAGTAATTGTGGAGGCAATGCATGTTGATCTTCACGGTCCATGGTTTCTTCATTGGAATCCCATCGGTGGTTTTGACACCAACAGCAAA